AGGTATTATAAGAGATTATAGAGACGATTAAAATGATTAATGTAACTTATTATTTAAGGAATCATAACAGACCAAAGACCCGACTATAGACTAGACTATAGACCACACTATAGACCAGACAATACACCAGACTATGAACCAAACTATAGATCATTCTTAAGACTATTGAGCCTTTAATAGACCAGACTATAGACTAAAACTTAATCCAACCCATTGACTAGACTCTGGTCCAAACCGTAGACCAAAGGACTATACGATACTGCAGTCCAAATATAGACCAAACTAAAAATCACAATTTAGTCCTTATTATAGTCCAGACTATATACAAATTTATAGTACAAATTATGAACTAGATTACAGATTAGATTATAGAATATATACCAGATTATAGACCAGAATATAGTCCAGACTACTCCCTAAACTATAGACCATATTATAGATCAGACTATAGATCATCTTTAACATTGAGCAAACTACAAATCAGACTATAGATCAGGTTATAGACTAGACTATAGACCTTCTATAGACCAGACTATAAACTAAAACTTATACCAACCCATTGACTAGACTCTGATCCCAACCGCAGACCAGATTATAGACAATACTATTGTCCAGAGTATACACCAGACTAAAGATCAAACTATTAACCGGAATATAAATTATATCATATACCTAACTGAGTATATACCAGATTATAAAACGCCCAAAGACCAAACTATACACATATAGGACTATGGATCAGATCTAAGACCATACTAAAGACCAGAATATAGAGCAGACTATAGAGTAGACTATGAAAAAAACTATAGACCAAACTATAAGACTATGGATCAGACTATATACAAGAACCAAGAACCACTACAAACCAGTTTATAATTCAACTATAGAGCAGTCTATGGAGCAATATATAGACCATACTATAGACGAGCTTATAGGCCAAACTATAGACTATACTCTAGACTAGATTATATATCAGACTGTAGACCAAACTATAGCCCAGACTATAGACCCGACTCTAGACCTAACTATAGACTAAAGTTTAGACCAACTCATAGACTAGACTATGATCCAAATCACAGACCAGATTATAGACAACACTATGGTCTATAGATCAAACTGAAGCTACGCACCAAACTATATATATAACTAGACTATAAAATAATAAAAACATTAATATTTAATTAACAAATTTGTTCAAAATTCCAAAATCTGTACCTTTCCTTTAAGTTTTATTATATCAATAACTCAATTAAATTGTGGTAATTTTCATTAAATATTCCTCCAAATAGTCAAACCTTTTAAACAGCTTCCATTTTGTTTAAGAGTATGTAGTTGTAAAAGAAGATTAATAAGCCATTTATAACCTGCTTACAAATTAACAGTTCTAAACATTTAACGGCACTTACTCACTCTTTACACACTAACTAAAGCACCTCTTACGTACACAAGCTAACAGCTTTCATTACCCAACAAACAAATTAGTAATAATTTGCAAAATTAAAACTTTACAGTTTAATATCATTGAAATCTGAAAGGAATTTTTGGCTTTCCAAACTTTACGTACATAAATGTTTGCTGGGTATTTATACTCTGCTATTATTCACCCACAAAAAAGAAACGAAAAAATCCGTTTGTTGAATTTGGATTCTATTTTGTAAGACAACCCCACAACAAAATTAACGACATGTTAAATTAGGCTGAAAAGCGTTAAACAAACACGTTTGTCATTTCGAAACCACAACTAATACTAATAAACGAAAGTTATATAAACACACAAATACACACTCATATATAGAAATACCGACATATATAACAGATATAAGCACTTACGGTTATTTTTCCTTATGCATATACAAACAACCTTTAAAACAAAACATCTCTGTTACACTCTGAATAATTTAAAAGAGTTCTAATTCTTAGAATAAAAGTTTCATGAACCCTCCCTTAAACAAATTTCCCACACTATACAATTTTCCTTTTTTTCGGCTTTGAGTGTATGTTTTAATTGAATTTACTTAGAATGTCGCTTAAGTTTTGTTTTTACCACCTGGAATTTAGTTTGTAATGAAACAATTTTCTCTCCTAGAAATTTTTTGTTTATTTTCAGGGAGGTTGAAGGTGTGCGTGAGTGAGGGAGTAAGAAAGATTAAAAAGTTGAAAAGTTTTCCGTTTTTCTGTTGTAGCAACATTTAAATTGCCTTAAAATGTGGTTAAAAGCAAATCAGTTAAGGCATTTTAGGTTTTTGCGTTGTGGGTTATTTTTTGTTTTGTTGATAAAAAAGATTAAACAAGTAAAAACTCTAAGTATTAGTGTGATAAAGTATTTGGGAGGAAAGTGTGTGTGAGTATAAGATTAACAGTTATGAATTTTAAAATGAGTTGAAAACTTTTTCCTTTAGTTCATTTTAATTGTTTTCCCTTTTTGTTACAAGTGCATAAATATTTTCAAATCAGTTTTTTGTTTTAAGCACGTGCTTTTTTGTTGTTTTTCTTTGCGACTTAAGGAATATTAAAACAAAGACAAAGTTTCTGCTTTAGACAAGGTTTTAGAAAAACACCTGTAATTTATTTTTTTAACAACAGCAAATTGTATTGAAATTTGTCTGGTTACAAGGATTTAAGAAAATTAATAATGTTTTTGCAAAATTTTAAATAAAAATAAGGTTACTTACTACACTGGACTATAAACATCAGAATTGGATTAAACTGGATTGGATTAAACACTAGACTACAGACTAGACTACAGACTAGACTATAGACTAGACTATAGGCTAGACTATAGACTAGACTATAGACTAGACTATAGGACTATAACTAGACTATAGACTAGACTATAGACTAGACTATAGACTAGACTATAGACTAGACTATAGACTAGACTATAGACTAGACTATAGACTAGACTATAGACTAGACTACTAGACTATAGACTAGACTATAGACTAGACTATAGACTAGACTATAGACTAGACTATAGACTAGACTATAGACTAGACTATAGACTAGACTATAGACTAGACTATAGACTAGACTAAGACTAGACTATAGACTAGACTATAGACTAGACTATAGACTAGACTTAGATAGACTAGACTATAGACTAGACTATAGACTAGACTATAGACTAGACTATAGACTAGACTATAGACTAGACTATAGACTAGACTATAGACTAGACTATAGAGACTATAGACTAGACTATAGACTAGACTATAGACTAGACTATAGACTAGACTATAGACTAGACTATAGACTAGACTATAGACTAGACTATAGACTAGACTATAGACTAGACTATAGACTAGACTATAGACTAGACTAGACTATAGACTAGACTAAACTATAGACTAGACTAGACTAGACTAGACTAGACTATAGACTAGTATATAAGGAAATCATCCTTAAGGAAGTAAAAGTACCTTTTAGAGCATATTTTTATTAATTTCTCAAGTGGACCATTATTTGAGAAGTTTTCATATAACAATATATTTTGTAACATTTTATTTTGTTATTATATTTTCAGCAATTAAATATTTCTAGTTGAATTCCACTCAAGTTTAACTTAAGAGACTATTTTATCATTTTGTCGTCCTTTTACTTAAGTTCATCTTATAAATATCCTTTTTCTATTAAACTTAAGCACACACTTATAAAACTAATGAAACCTTATCGATGAAAATACGAAAATAAATAAATCGTAGAACAATGTTTTTAATAGTGTAAGAAAAGTAAAAGAAGATGAAGAAGGGGTTAAGAGAGTCTTAACATTCAACAGGCTTTTATAGTCAATGACTTTTACAATAAATCCATTATTATTTTTGTTATTCTTGTTGTAGGTAGTTATTTTATTGACTACGTAGTTTAATTTAGCGAAAATATTAGTTTTATGGATTCCATTACTAATTTCAAAAGATAAGACACATGTGAATGTTGTTTTTTGTTTTGTTTTGTGAACAAAAGACAGATGGGAGACGAATAGAAAAGTACTAAAGGGGATTTTGGGATATAAGAATATGGGCGAAGAACATTCAACATGTTAAAATTCATTCTGAAAAATTAAAATTTTTGACACATTTTAGTCACATAATGCTTTTTGTAAAAGTAGTTTTTTGAAAATCTTTGAAGAAATTCCTTTAAAAAGTACTTTTTGCAAAAAGTACTTTTTCTAGATATAAGAGAAAATAATTCAAATTCTTTTATTTTGCCTCAATTTGTATTAAAAATTATCCTTAAATAATGAAAAGTACTTTCTAGTATATTGTACTTATAGCAAAATAGCACTTTTAAAAAAGTACTTTTTTCAAAACATATTTATATGGTGTAGTTTTTTCTTTGCAAATGAAAGATAAAATAGAAACATTTTCTGAAAAAAGTACTTTTTGTAAAAAAGTACTTTTTTCACATAAAAGTACTTTTTTACAAAAAGTACTTTTTTCACCTAAAAGAAGAAGTCAAGAAAACGCTTTAAATTTAGCCTCAATGAAACTTTAATATGTAAAAATTCTTACTCATAGTATAAAAAGTACTTTTTTAATACACTTTAAGCAAATACTACTTTACAGCCTTTGTCACCAGTACTTAAGTACTTGATGTTTTTCATCTCCCATACAAATATTAAATAGTTTTTAAAAACGTAATAAAATAATAATCAAGTCATTGTTATAATGCCAACATCCACTTGAAGTCGAAATGTCCAGCAATATGAGGGGTTTCATTTGACATTTAAGAGTTTTCCTTTAAAGAAAATCTTTAACAAACGGCAAACAAAACAAATCACATAGAGTGAAAGCGACAAAAAAGGATAAAAACAACAAATAAACAAAAGCAGACAAAAGCCAAGGAATAAAATGACATCATGACACATATTGTTAAGTAATAGATGATGTTGATGACTTTTGCAAAGATTGCCAAAAGGGTTTTTCGTATTGCTTTTCTACTCTATTGGTAAATTGCTATATAAACCATTAGAGCAAATAATGTTAACATCATTTGTACGTTAACAATCCTGGTAAACACATTACAATCAATTGTAACGTAAAAAAAAACCAACCAACAGTATTTCAACTACAACATTTCAAAGTAAACAACAGCGAAAACGGAAGTTGGCAGTTAAAGCTCCAAAAACATTTTAAAAACTCTAGCTGAACCTAACAACCTAACTCAGTTCATTAACTACCACATTCTCCCAGAAGAAATACCTTGATTACCTTTGCTTAACCATGTTTTTCCATTTGAGAAATGTTTTCTACATGTCGGCTGCCATCATTGTATTGATTCAGTTATTCAGTTCATTTGGAATAACAAATGGCATCGAACTACCTTTGGAGCTGTTGCATGAGGGTGTTAATGGTGCTGCCAAATCCCGAGATTATACACGACGCATGACATTTCCTTTGGTCTCAACTGATAATGGTGTTGAATTGCCACCCAATGTTGAGGACAGCAATATGGATTTAAATGGACCCAATGGCTTTAGCAGCAGCAGTGCACTAGAGGATAATGATGATTTGGCTGATGATTTACCCATGAAAAGTGGAATGCCTCAGTGGTTGCAAATGCAACTACAGGAAACAGAAGTACAGCCACATAACAACTACCATAACCAACTTCTCTCCTCCTCTTCCTCGCAGCTGCCTAAACACAAACAACAATCCTCCAGCCAACATCAACATCATCATGAAAGTCATCAGTTACACTCCTCCACCACCGCTAACTCTTCTCCTCTACGACGCTGCTCCATTGACATTTCCAGCAAAATTCCTGGCATTTGTCAAACCATGGGATCTATTGGCAGTGCCTGTGTATCTGGTGACTATATTGATGTCTTCAATGCCGCCTGTTTGTAAATTATTCGCCGCTCATTTTACTCATTCTCTCCATACTCCATAACTTTTGAAATTGTAAATTTAACCAGCCATTACACTCTGTGATTGTTTTGAATATTTGTTTTAATTTTTTTCCTCGCAACTTCATTTATTTAATTGTTTGCTTTTTAAGAAATATTTTCCTTCATTACTATTTGCTTGTAACAAAAAAAAAAAAAACAAAAGAAAAAGTATAATAAAAGAATTCTAAATGTAATTAAGATTTTTGAAATTGCGCTGATGCCAACACCATCAACTAACAACCATCTTTAGCAGGAATGTGAAAATAAATCAATTCCTTGCAACTGATTGTTAATCTCTGTGTGTTACACTCTCTAAATAAATTTCAAATATGTTTGGAATGTGTATGACCATCTTCATCAACTACAGGTTGACCTCAAAAGCTCACAGTGTACCGACCACTTTACAGGTCAACGTAGGTAGGTGTTTAGGAAGGGATCAGAGGCGTCTATAGTAGAAAAACGACTAGGAACCAAATAGTACAGAATTGAAGAGAGTTCTAGTTCAGTTCTAGTTCTGTTCTAGTTCTAGTTCTGTTCTAGTTCTGTTCTAGTTCTGTTCTAGTTCTGTTCTAGTTCTGTTCTAGTTCTGTTCTAGTTCTGTTCTAGTTCTGTTCTAGTTCTGTTCTAGTTCTGTTCTAGTTCTATTCTAGTTCTGTTCTAGTTCTGTTCTAGTTCTGTTCTAGTTCTGTTCTAGTTCTGTTCTAGTTCTGTTCTAGTTCTGTTCTAGTTCTGTTCTAGTTCTGTTCTGGTTCTGTTCTAGTTCTGTTCTAGTTCTGTTCTAGTTCTGTTCTAGTTCTGTTCTAGTTCTGTTCTAGTTCTGTTCTAGTTCTGTTCTAGTTCTGTTCTAGTTCTGTTCTAGTTCTGTTCTAGTTCTGTTCTAGTTCTGTTCTAGTTCTGTTCTAGTTCTGTTCTAGTTCTGTTCTAGTTCTGTTCTAGTTCAGCTCTAGTTCTGTTCTAGTTCTGGTTCTGTTCTAGTTCTGTTCCAGTTCTGTTCTAGTTCTGTTCTAGTTCTGTTCTAGTTCTGTTCTAGTTCTGTTCTAGTTCTGTTCTAGTTCTGTTCTAGTTCTGTTCTAGATCTGTTCTAGTTCTGTTCTAGTTCTGTTCTAGTTCTGTTCTAGTTCTGTTCTAGTTCTGTTCTAGTTCTGTTCTAGTTCTGTTCTAGTTCTGTTCTAGTTCTGTTCTAGAACTGTTCTAGAACTGTTCTAGTTCTGTTCTAGTTCTGTTCTAGTTCTGTTCTAGTTCTGTTCTAGTTCTGTTCTAGTTCTGTTCTAGTTCTGTTCTAGTTCTGTTCTAGTTCTGTTCTAGTTCTGTTCTAGTTCTGTTCTAGTTCTGTTCTAGTTCTGTTCCAGTTCTGTTCTAGTTCTGTTCTAGTTCTGTTCTAGTTCTGTTCTAGTTCTGTTCCAGTTCTGTTCTAGTTCTGTTCTAGTTCTGTTCTAGTTCTGTTCTAGTTCTGTTCTAGTTCTGTTCTAGTTCTGTTCTAGTTCTCTTCTAGTTCTGTTGTCACAAAATTTTTTCTATGTGTTTTATACACTCTTCCTTAGACCCTTAACCTAACATACAACACTGTGCTCTTTTAATTCATATATAAACCCCTGACATACATTTGAAGCAAGCTAGAAACACTTAAAGCTAAGAAAACAATTAAATTATACCAGCAGGATAAATGAACATACGTTACACCTTTAAAACAGTAACGGCGTTAAGAGAGGAAATAAAAAATTAGAAAAAAGTGAAAATAATCCTTAATAAACTCTAGCAGAAGTACACAATCCTTTTTCCCCAAGAACTAAAGCAAACTATTTTAAACTTTTCTCAGAAATAACAAACGTTTCGGAATCCCTGCTTGAAAAAAACTGACACGGTTACATTAGATGTTCTGACTAACACATGTACATAAAAATAATGTTTACATATGTGTGAGAATGTGTGCGTATGTATCAGTGTATATATGTTAAATGTCCTGAGGCGTAAGTTTTTAATGAGGCAAGCAAAAGAATTTAAGTGTTTCTACTCTCACATCATCATGCTAGTTGTTCCATTTGCTGGGCCCCTTCACGTAGTTGTCTAGATGGCAATTGTTTAGCGCATGGTGCTTGAAACTGTTAGGATGGGGTGTCAAGGAAAAAATTCTGTTAAACACTTCCTCTCTTTATATACATAGATACGCATTTATTTACCTTGTACTTGTGATTTCTAATTTTTGCCTTGATTGTTTGCCAATGGAAATGAAACAAAAACAACATTTTCAAATTATTTTCAATTACATTTTATTTAATTGAAATTTGCCGGCTTTAAAGTTCATGTAAACTGCGTACACGTGGCCAAAACGGTGAGTGGGTATCGGGCAAACCCTCGCTCATGGTCATATTACCTGCGGCTATACATTGTCGTAGAAATATGCGTTGTAATTCGGGGGCCTCAAATAAACCAAAACGTTTTCTTTTGCTTTTAGGTTGCTGCAGCATAAAGGCGTCTATATGATCGTAAATCAAGCCGGCCAGTTCCTCATTTCTGAAATGTTCTAAAATGGTTTCATCTTGCAGCACATCACCCCAAACAAATACCAATTGTTGTAATTCAAAAGCCAATTTTAAATCATTATTATCATGGGCGGGGAATATCTCTTTTGCGTACACTGCCGTACCCAAAATATCGCTGGCTTGCACAAATTGTATGGCATTGCTTAGGGAATGGGTGCGTAAATCGGCATAGGTTTCCCAGGGACTATATTGTCCCAGAGTTTGAAAAACCACTGGGAATATGTGTTGTTTATAGCGCAACATAGAGCAAATATCAGCATCAAAACTTGTCAAGATTAAAGGACGTCCACAACCAAATTCCATTGTTGTTTGCAGGACCTCATTTACATAACGATTTTTATCCAAAGACTGCAAGGACTCAAAGCTACCGCTACTCATCAGCTGAGGCCATTTAATGTCCACCATTATACCCAACGTAATGGGTAATTTCTGATAAACCTGCTTCAGTAAAGGAAATATTCTCTCCTTATCTGGAACAAAAACTGTATTCAAATGGGTCACCTCCACCATTGCGCCCTTTAAGAACACAAACACCCTTTTCTTTAACAACTCCTGGTAGGTCAAGTCATGTATATATACAAACTTTAAATCTTTACCCTTTAGCTTTTTATTGTTATTTGGAGCGGCCGTAAAGAAACCAAAATCATGCCACACCACCGGCACATAATCTTTGGTCAATTGCACATTTAACTGAATCATATCACTGTTATACTCCCCGGCTTTTAAAAAGCTTTCAATAGTATTTTCCATGACATTAGCAGAATGATAGTAAAAACTTTTACCTAAACCACGTTGGCCTATATCCACAGTGGGCCAATTATAGGGCCAATAATGCTGAAAACCGGCACGCATGTTAAGCTTTAAAGCTCCCGGCATAGCATTTATTCTCAAAAATGGCAAAGTCAACCAGCCAACTCTTTGGTTTTCCTTAGAATCTAATATCGGCAGCTCCAAAATGCCCTCACTGCGTTTCAATACTTTTGAGGGTATGACCACTTCACCCAAAAGTTCCTGCTGTCTGGTATAAATACTCAAAACATACATATTCTCCAAAAAGTCCGCCACCGTTATATGGAAAACCACTATGTCCCCGGGCCTGTAAATCACTCCTTGTTCACTTAGTGCTTTCAAATTAGATTTTTTGCTCACAAACCGCACCACCTGCAATTCAGTATCTTCATATTCTTCCAAATTCTCATAACTAGGTTGCCCTTTAACCTCTTCGAAGGCTTTTAATTTCAAAACATATCTTGGATTCCTTATAAAATGTGTAAATTCCGTAAACTGTATATGCTGAGGCCATGTTAATTTAAATTGTATGATATACTCCTTTCTCAGCCATGCCCGTTCATTTTGTTTGCCTCCTCCCACTGCCAAAGCATGGGCGTGACCAAACTTCCTCGAGCCCTGATGACGAAACATTTCGTAGGCCTCAACAACTCGAGCATGCTGCTGAGCCTCCCAATAGCGTATGCGTTTGAAACCTTTTGAGTCTATATAATAAATAAAAAATCGGTAATAAACTCTTACAGCCGAGCACATGGGTATTTTCAGATACCATTTCATGGGATTACGCCTTCTTCTTCTCATTTCTAAACTCTTTTCAATTTGCCATTCTCCCAGTTTGGCATGATCTCCAGTCAAACCCACTCCCTCACCTAATCTTAATGGTTCCGTTAATTCAACTTCAAAATGTTTTAACATGGGCACACACTTCAAACTCCTTTCTCCACTTCGGGTTACATTTTTAAATGTTACGCCACTGTCTTTTGGCGATTCCTCTAATTCGCCGTAACACAAATTTGCTGTGTCTTTGCTTAAATTATTTAGAAAGGTATTGTTCTTGGCTAAGGCGACTTTATTGCAAACAACAATTACAAGCAAATACAACCACCAGTTGCAGAATTTTCGGAGTTTTAAGGCCATCTAGCGAGGTAAAAGACAATTATAATACGGAATCAGAGCTGTCAAAGAGTAAAATCTTAAAAAAATTGGGAAAACAATTTTAAAATAAGTTGTAGTTTAGTTCTAGTTCAGTTCTAGTTCAGTTTTAGTTCAGTTCTAGTTCAGTTCTAGTTCAGTTCTAGTTCAGTTCTAGTTCTAGTTCAGTTCTAGTTAAGTTCTAGTTAAGTTCTAGTTCAGTTCTAGTTCAGTTCTAGTTCTAGTTCAGTTCTAGTTCAGTTCTAGTTCAGTTCTAGTTCAGTTCTAGTTCAGTTCTAGTTCAGTTCTAGTTCAGTTCTAGTTCAGTTCTAGTTCAGTTCTAGTTCAGTTCTAGTTCAGTTCTAGTTCAGTTCTAGTTCAGTTCTAGTTCAGTTCTAGTTCAGTTCTAGTTCAGTTCTAGTTCAGTTCTAGTTCAGTTCTAGTTCAGTTCTAGTTCAGTTCTAGTTCAGTTCTAGTTCAGTTCTAGTTCAGTTCCTGTTCAGTTCTACTTCAGTTCTAGTTTTAGTTCAGTTCTAGTTCAGTTCTAGTTCAGTTCTAGTTCAGTTCTAGTTCAGTTCTAGTTTAATTCTAGTTCAGTTCTAGTTCAGTTCTAGTTCAGTTCTAGTTCTAGTTCAGTTATAGTTCAGTTCTAGTTCAGTTCTAGTTCAGTTTTAGTTCAGTTCTAGTTCAGTTCTAGTTCAGTTCTAGTTCAGTTCTAGTTCAGTTCTAGTTCAGTTCTAGTTCAGTTCTAGTTCAGTTCTAGTTCAGTTCTAGTTCAGTTCTAGTTCAGTTCTAGTTCAGTTCTAGTTCAGTTCTAGATCAGTTCTAGTTCAGTTCTAGTTCAGTTCTAGTTCAGTTCTAGTTCAGTTTTAGTTCAGTTCTAGTTCAGTTCTAGTTCAGTTCTAGCTCAGTTCTAGTTCAGTTCTAGTTCAGTTCAAGTTTAGTTTTAGTCAGTTCAGTTCTAGTTCAGTTCTAGTTTAGTTTTAGTTCAGTTCAGTTCTAGTTCAGTTCTAGTTCAGTTCTAGTTCAGTTCTAGTTCAGTTCTAGTTCAGTTCTAGTTCAGTTCTAGTTCAGTTCTAGTTCAGTTCTAGTTCAGTTCTAGTTCAGTTCTAGTTCAGTTCTAGTTCAGTTCTAGTTCAGTTTTAGTTCAGTTCAGTTCTAGTTCAGTTCTAGTTCAGTTCTAGTTCAGTTCAGTTCTAGTTCAGTTCTAGTTCAGTTCTAGTTCAGTTCTAGTTCAGTTCTAGTTCAGTTCTAGTTCAGTTCTAGTTCAGTTCTAGTTCAGTTCTAGTTCAGTTCTAGTTCAGTTCTAGTTCAGTTCTAGTTCAGTTCTAGTTCAGTTCTAGTTCAGTTCTAGTTCAGTTCTAGTTCAGTTCTAGTTCAGTTTCTAGTTCAGTTCTAGTTCAGTTTAGTTCAGTTCTAGTTCAGTTCTAGTTCAGGTCTAGTTCAGTTCTAGTTCAGTTCTAGTTCAGTTCTAGTTCAGTTCTAGTTCAGTTCTAGTTCAGTTCTAGTTCAGTTCTAGTTCAGTTCTAGTTCAGTTCTAGTTCAGTTCTAGATCAGTTCTAGTTCAGTTCTAGTTCAGTTCTAGTTCAGTTTAGTTCAGTTCTAGTTCAGTTCTAGTTCAGTTCTAGCTCAGTTCTAGTTCAGTTCTAGTTCAGTTCTAGTTCAGTTCTAGTTTAGTTTAGTCAGTTCTAGTTCAGTTCTAGTTCAGTTCTAGTTCAGTTCTAGTTCATGTTCTAGTTCAGTTCTAGTTCAGTTCTAGTTCAGTTCTAGTTCAGTTCTAGTTCAGTTCTAGTTCAGTTCTAGTTCAGTTCTAGTTCAGTTCTAGTTCAGTTCTAGTTCAGTTCTAGTTCAAGTTCTAGTTCAGTTCTAGTTCAGTTCTATTCAGTTCTAGTTCAGTTCTAGTTCGTTCTAGTTCAGTTCTAGTTCAGTTTAGTTCATTCAGTTCTAGTTCAGTTCTAGTTCAGTTCTAGTTCAGTTCTAGTTCAGTTCTAGTTCAGTTCTATTTCAGTTCTAGTTCAGTTCAGTTCTAGTTCAGTTCTAGATTCAGTTCTAGTTCAGTTCTAGTTCAGTTCTAGTTCATGTTCTAATTCAGTTTCTAGTTCAGTTCTAGTTCAGATTCTAGTTCAGTTCTAGTTCAGTTCTAGTTCAGTTCTAGTTCAGTTCTAGTTCAGTTCTAGTTCAGTTCTAGTTCAGTTCCTAGTTCAGTTCTAGTTCAGTTCTAGTTCAGTTCTAGTTCAGTTCCGAGTGCAGTTCTCAAGTTCAGGTCTAGTTCAGTTCTAGTCAGTTCTAGGTCAAGTTCTAGTTCAGTTCTAGTTCAGTCTAGTTCTAGTTCAGTTCTAGTTCAGTTCTAGTTCAGTTCTAGTTCAGTTCTAGTTCAGTTCTAGTTCAGTCTAGTTCAGTTCTAGTTCAGTTCTAGTTCAGTTCTAGTTCAGTTCTAGTTCAGTTCTAGTTCAGTTCTAGTTCAGTTCTAGTTCAGTTCTAGTTCAGTTCTAGTTCAGTTCTAGTTCAGTTCTAGTTCAGTTCTAGTTCAGTTCTAGTTCAGTTCTAGTTCAGTTCTAGTTCAGTTCTAGTTCAGTTCTAGTTCAGTTCTAGTTCAGTTCTAGTTCAGTTCTAGTTCAGTTCTAGTTCAGTTCTAGTTCAGTTCTAGTTCAGTTCTAGTTCAGTTCTAGTTCAGTTCTAGTTCAGTTCTAGTTCAGTTCTAGTTCAGTTCTAGTTCAGTTCTAGTTCAGTTCTAGTTCAGTTCTAGTTCAGTTCTAGTTCAGTTCTAGTTCAGTTCTAGTTCAGTTCTAGTTCAGTTCTAGTTCAGTTCTAGTTCAGTTCTAGTTCAGTTCTAGTTCAGTTCTAGTTCAGTTTCTAGTTTCAGTTCTCTAGTTCAGTTCTAGTTCAGTTCTAGTTCAGTTCTAGTTCAGTTCTAGTTCAGTTCTAGTTCAGTTCTAGTTCAGTTTCTAGTTCAGTTCTAGTTCAGTTCTAGTTCAGTTCTAGTTCAGTTCTAGTTCAGTTCTAGTTCAGTTCTAGTTCAGTTCTAGTTCAGTTCTAGTTCAGTCTGTTCAGTTCTAGTCAGTTCTAGTTCAGTTCTAGTTCAGTTCTAGTTCAGTTCTAGTTCAGTTCTAGTTCAGTTCTAGTTCAGTTCTAGTTCAGTTCTAGTTCAGTTCTAGTTCAGTTCTAGTTCAGTTCTAGTTCAGTTCTAGTTCAGTTCTAGTTCAGTTCTAGTTCAGTTCTAGTTCAGTTCTAGTTCAGTTCTAGTTCAGTTCTAGTTCAGTTCTAGTTCAGTTCTAGTTCAGTTCTAGTTCAGTTCTAGTTCAGTTCTAGTTCAGTTCTAGTTCAGTTCTAGTTCAGTTCTAGTTCAGTTCTAGTTCAGTTCTAGTTCAGTTCTAGTTCAGTTCTAGTTCAGTTCTAGTTCAGTTCTAGTTCAGTTCTAGTTCAGTCTCGTTCAGTTCTAGTTCAGTTCTAGTTCAGTTCTAGTTCAGTTCTAGTTCAGTTCTAGTTCAGTTCTAGTTCAGTTCTAGTTCAGTTCTATTTCAGTTCTAGTTCAGTTCTAGTTCAGTTCTAGTTCAGTTCTAGTTCAGTTCTAGTTCAGTTCTAGTTCAGTTCTAGTTCAGTTCTAGTTCAGTTCTAGTTCAGTTCTAGTTCAGTTCTAGTTCAGTTCTATTTCAGTTCTAGTTCAGTTCTAGTTCCGTTCTAGTTCAAGTTCTAGTTCAGTTCTAGTCAGTTTCTAGTTCAGTTCTAGTTCAGTTCTAGTTCAGTTCTAGTTCAGTTCTAGTTCAGTTCTGTTCAGTTCTAGTTCAGTTTAGTTCAGTTCTAGTTCAGTTCTAGTTTCAGTTCTAGTTCAGTTCTAGTTCAGTTCTAGTTCAGTTCTAGTCAGTTCTAGTTCAGTTCTAGTTTCAGTTCTAGTTCAGTTCTAGTTCAGTTCTAGTTCAGTTCTAGTTCAGTTCTAGTTCAGTTCTAGTTCAGTTCTAGTTCAGTTCTAGTTCAGTTCTAGTTCAGTTTCTAGTTCAGTTCTAGTTCAGTTCTAGTTCTAGTCAGTTCTAGTTCAGTTCTAGTTCAGTTCTAGTTCAGTTCTAGTTCAGTTCTAGTTCAGTTCTAGTTCAGTTCTAGTTCAGTTCTAGTTCAGTTCAGTCTAGTTCAGTTCTAGTTCAGTTCTAGTTCAGTTCTAGTTCAGTTCTAGTTCAGTTCTAGTTCAGTTCTAGTTCAGTTCTAGTTCAGTTCTAGTCAGTTTCTAGTTCAGTTCTAGTTCTATACTAGTTCCAGTTATAGTTCAATGTAGATCTGCTTAATAGTTGAGCGGTTTAGTGGTTGAACTCTAGTTCAATTCCAGTTGAGTTGAGTTGTAGATAAGTTTTCGTTGAATTTTGTTCAATGTTGTTCAGTTCTAGATTGGTTCTAGTTTAGTTGTTGATTAGTTCTAGTTCAGTTCTTCTAATTCAAATTAAAACTTACCCTAATTTTTAAACTTAATCTATAACTAAAACCCACTATTTTAAAACACAAACACGCTATCAACAGGTCAAATACAAATAACACTAAACCTTAAAAGCCAATGACTTCAAGCGACAGTTGAAAGCAAACCACCTACCAACTAACATCATTATTAAACAACAGCGCAGCTACTCTCACTCTTTAACGCTACTGGCTGTAATCATTAGCATAAAATATTGGTAAAATATCATTAACGCTATGTATTTATTGTACGCTTAACTTTTTTGATAACTGTAGCAGAGCAAGATGCTACATGCTCTTGTGTCTGAGTTCCTAGTGTTAATTTCCTAAAACAATGCGTTTTTTAGAATTTTTGGTGTTTTGGTTTTTGTTTTATGGGTCATGTAGAGATTCTTTTAATTAAGTCTGTTTTTTGTTTGGATCTAACTTATAGATGATGGTATGGGTTTTTGGTGTAAAAAACAAGTTTAATAATAACTTTTATGGTTTATTTAAAGTTTTAGCAAATTTGTTTTTGTTTAGCGCATATGATTATGAAAAGAAAAGTGGTTAAAAGAAGAAAAGAAAAGAATAGAAATGAAAGCAATTTTAATGGTTAATGATAATATGTCGTCATCAATAAAGATGATTAAGCTAATACAGAGAGTGGCCAACTTATAGGTAACAATAATTATTACACAAAATTTTATATTTAATATTTAAGAATCAAAAAATATATTTTGTTTTTTTTTATTTTGTTTCTTTTTTTAATATATATTTTTTCTTTAATAGTAATTAATAAGTGGTATAGTTTAGTTAATAAGTTAACAATGTTTAAAGTTTAATTTTGTAATTATTTAAAGAATAAATTTAAAACTTGTTAAATGTTTATTCAAACGTAAAATTACTTTTTTTGTAGTTTGCATTAATAAATTGCTTTTAATTAAAATTTTACTAATTAAACAAATATGTTAAACATATAAGTTTATTGTCTTTAATTTTGTTTTAGTTTAATATTAATTAAATGGAATAATGAATACATAGTATTGGTGTTTTTGTTGTTGTTTTCTAATAATAATACTAAAAATTGTTTAATACCAGGAGTATTTAACAATAAAAATTTTAAATAGTTTTTGTTTGTTTAAAAATGTTCGCCAGCGAACGAGTTTAAATTTTTGTATAATTTCTAATAAAATTCGTATTTAACAGGTATATAAAAAATATATTTGCTTTTTCTGTTTTCTTTTAACATTTAAGCACGACATTGATCTTTAAATTCCTCCATTATTTCCGTGGAATTGAAAAATGACTTTGATTTGCTGGGAGGAACATACAAATCGGATCTATCGTAACAGGTAGCAGTAGCACCAATATCTTGGAAATATTTAACAGCTTGTTGGGAATTACAGTCATCTCCCCATACTAGAGATATTTGACCCAAATCTTTGGCTTTTTTCATTAGGGCGGCTCCTTGTTCTCCCTTAAAATCTTCAGCATGAGGAGCTGTACCGGCCAATTCAAATGCCTGAGCATTGTTAATGGCCTGTTCGAATGTTCGGGTTCTTAGATCAAGAAAAGCCTCCCATTTTTGTGTTTCTCCTTGAGTCAAATACATGACGGGTAATAAATTCTGTTTGAATCTCAGCATGGTGCAGATATCAGCATCAAAACTAGAGAATATTAAAGGACGTCCACAACCTTTTTGTAATATCACTTTTAAAACGGTATCAATAAAGAAATTTTTATCTATGGTTTGTTCAGCCTCTACGCCTCCTTTGATCTTGCGTTGGGGCCATTTTATTTCCACATCTATACCCAAAGTTTTGGGTAATGCTTCTAGCACCTCCTCTAAAGTAGGAAAGATGCGTTTCTCAAATACCGGTTCTTTATTATGGGCCGGATATTCTTTAATTTCATTATTGATAATGGCAAAGACACGTAGTTCCTTAATGGCCTCATAGGTCATGTCTTTCAAGAGTACATATTCCAATTGCGACACATCTTTAACCTCTTTGCCTTGAGGCGCAGTACGCACTCCAAAATCATGATATATCACAGGTATGCCATCGGCCGTTAGGTGTACATCCAGCTCCACCATATCAGCAAATACTTCATAGGCCTTCAAGAAGGAGGAAATGGTGTTCTCTCTTTCTGCAGGGGCATTGGCTATATAACTTTTGCCATTGCCGCGGTGTCCCACATCCAAATTGGGCCAGGTTTTGGGCCAATAATGGGCATAAGTGGTGCGAAAATCTAACAGTTGTTTATCACTAAAAGGCTTAACCAATAAATAGGGTAAAGTTAAGCGTGCTATCACAGTTTCTTTTGTATCCTTAATCTCCAGCAAAAGTTCACCTTGACTACCCTTCAACTGATCCGCCAAAATGTAAGCTTTGCCCATTAGTTGCTGCTGTTGTGAGTAAAATTCTAAAGCATATGAAGCCTCCAATTCCAAGGGAACGGTCAAATGGAAAATCACCACCTCATTGCGTTTGTGTGGCACTCCCTCTGTAGGTTGAGGTTTTAAAACACTTTCATTGTATCTCATTTTGGCAAACTCTACATTAATTCCCGTCTTCTCAGCATCCAGGGAGGTAGTTAAATCCTCTCCTAAAACTACCACCTTAATATAAACATTTTCTGGATCAAATTTATTAATATCATGCACTTGGAACATTTTCTCGCGCTCAAATTTCAACTGCAAGATCATTTCATTATTCAACCAACCACGATTAAGTTCCACCTCTCCTGCCGCCACTTGACCAAAAATATCCACATTACGACAATTGTTTATGCAAGAAGTCAGTTGTCGTGGTTTCAAATGGGTCTCCCAACGTCTGATCTGTTTGCGACCCAAATGATCTTCAGCATAAATAAAATAACGATAATTGATATTATTAGCACAAGCTTGCAACATTACATTGGCCGACCACTCCAAACTGCCTTTGTTTTGAGTCAATGTAACACATCGATCCAATTGCCATTCACCCAAAGCCTGAGAATCTCCTGTCAAGGCTACATGTTCATTTTCAGCCAACTGTTCAGGTAATATCACAGTAAAAGGTCTAACCATATGGACACAAGTGTCCACAGCAATTTTGGCCTCCTCTTCCTGAACATTAGGAACGGTTGAAAATTTGGGTGCTATAACAGCGGCAGCCTCCACGTACGAAGAACACTGTTGAAAGAATACAAAATACGCGATTAATAACAATTTAAAACGTGTCATTTTTTTGTTTTATTCTTAAACAAATAATAAAATTTTATTCTAATTCTTAAAAACACTGAAAGCGTCCGTTAGCTTAAGCGTTTTGTTTTAAAATGACTGTCTAACTCAACGATTCTATTTATATTCAATTCTACTCCAGTCTAAGTTTAAGAAAAATTTTCTCCGCCCTGCCTGCTCTTTAAAGCTTAATAAATAAGTGTATCAGAGATAAAGTTTTAATTAAATACTATTTTAGCAGTAAATAAATGGGCTTTCTGAATCAATTATACGCCAATTAAGTTGTAATCTAAAAAAAGCTTTGTTTTATATTCATATGTGATTAGCTCATTACTAAATCTACTACTCAATTTAATTGAAATCAGTTTGGACAGTTCAACGTTTTATTATTGTTGTGGGCAAAAAAAGTACTGATATGAACCTTCTATTCAATTTAGCAACTTATTTTTCTGATAAGCAAATTCTTCTATTTTCAAATTTATTCGTAGCTTCCTTAGATTTTTATCAATTTGCTAAATTTATGATTGTACCATGTTCAATATATTATTTATTTGCGATCAGACATGTGATAGACAAATGTTTGGCATTATTGACAGTTATACAAATTATTTTGATTGTTAAGAACGAAATTGGGACAAACAATATACTTATATGTACGGAAATTGATAATTTTTTTTATTACCAAGCAAGAATTTGGAACTGAACAAGAACCGATCAACAACTGAATTGGTAGTGACAAAGAAAAGAATTACAATTGATCTTCAATTGAATTTTTATTGACCTACTTCTAAATTGAAAGAACGAACTGAACTAAAACTGAACTAGAACTGAACTAGAACTGAGCTAGAACTGAGCAAGAACTGAGCTAGAACTGAGCTAGAACTGAGCTAGAAACTGAACTAACTAGAACTGAACTAGAACTGAACTAGAACTGAACTAGAACTGAACTAGAACTGAACTAGAACTGAACTAAAACTGAACTAGAACTGAAATAGAACTGAACTAGAACTGAACTAGAACTGAACTAGAACTGAACTAGAACTGAACTAGAACTAAACTAGAACTGAACTAGAACTGAACTAGAACTGAACTAGAACTGAACTAGAACTGAACTAGAACTGAACTAGAACTGAACTAGAACTGAACTAGAACTGAACTAGAACTGAACTAGAACTGAACTAGAACTGAACTAGAACTGAACTAGAACTGAACTACAACTGAACTACAACTGAACTAGAACTGAACTAGAACTGAACTAGAACTGAACTAGAACTGAACTAGAACTGAACTAGAACTGAACTAGAACTGAACTAGAACTGAACTAGAACTGCACTAGAACTGAACTAGAACTGAACTAGAACTGAACTAGAGCTGAACTAGAGCTGAACTAGAACTGAACTAGAACTGAACTAGAAAATGAAATAGAAATGAACTAGAACTGAAATAGAACTGAACTAGAACTGAACTAGAACTGAACTAGAACTGAACTAGAACTGAACTAGAACTGAACTAAACTGAACTAGAAACTGAACTAGAACTGAACTAGAACTGAACTAGAACTGAACTAGAACTGACTAGAACTGAACTAGAACTGAACTAGAACTGAACTAGAACGGACTAGAACTGATACTAGAACTGAACTAGAACGAACTAGAATGAACTAGAACTGAACTAGAACTGAACTAGAACTGAACTAGAACTGACTAGAACTGAACTAACTGAAAGAACTAGAACTGAACTAGAACTGAACTAGAACTGAACTAGAACTGAACTAGAACTGAACTAGAACTGAACTAGAAACTGAACTAGAACTGAACTAGAACTGAACTAGAACTGATACTAGAACTGAACTAGAACTGAACTAGAACTGAACTAGAACTGAACTAGAACTGAACTAGAACTGAACTAGAACGAACTAGAACTGAACTAGAACGAACTAGAACTGAACTAGAACTGAGCTAGAACTGAACTAGAACTGAACTAGAACTGAACTAGAACTGAACTAGAACTGAACTAGAACTGAACTAGAACTGAACTAGAACTGAACTAGAACTGAACTAGAACTGAACTAGAACTGAACTAGAACTGAACTAGAACTGAACTAGAACTGAACTAGAACTGAACTAGAACTGAACTAGAACTGAACTAGAACTGAACTAGAACTGAATTAGAACTGAATTAGAACTGAACTAGAACTGAACTAGAACTAAACTAGAACTAAACTAGAACTGAACTAGAACTGAACTAGAACTGAACTAGAACTGAACTAGAACTGAACTAGAACTGAACTGAACTAGAACTGAACTAGAACTGAACTAGAACTGAACTAGAACTGAACTAGAACTGAACTAGAACTGAACTAGAACTGAACTAGAACTAAACTAGTACTGAACTAGAACTGAACTAGAACTGAACTAGAACTGAACTAGAACTGAACTAGAACTGAACTAGAACTGAACTAGAACTGAACTAGAACTGAACTAGAACTGAACTAGAACTGAACTAGAACTGAACTAGAACTGAACTAGAACTGAACTAGAACTGAACTAGAACTGAACTAGAACTGAACTAGAACTGAACTAGAACTGAACTAGAACTGAACTAGAACTGAACTAGAACTGAACTAGAACTGAACTAGAACTGAACTAGAACTGAACTAGAACTGAACTAGAACTGAACTAGAACTGAACTAGAACTGAACTAGAACTGAACTAGAACTGAACTAGAACTGAACTAGAACTGAACTAGAACTGAACTAGAACTGAACTAGAACTGAACTAGAACTGAACTAGAACTGAACTAGAACTGAACTAGAACTGAACTAGAACTGAACTAGAACTGAACTAGAACTGAACTAGAACTGAACTAGAACTGAACTAGAACTGAACTAGAACTGAACTAGAACTGAACTAGAACTGAACTAGAACTGAACTAGAACTGAACTAGAACTGAACTAGAACTGAACTAGAACTGAACTAGAACTGAACTAGAACTGAACTAGAACTGAACTAGAACTGAACTAGAACTGAACTAGAACTGAACTAGAACTGAACTAGAACTGAACTAGAACTGAACTAGAACTGAACTAGAACTGAACTAGAACTGAACTAGAACCGAACTAGAACTGAACTAGAACTGAACTGTATGAAGTGTGGGCTACTGAACTAGACCTAAATACACTAAAATAGAAAGTATATATCACTGAATTAATCTTTAACTGAACTATAGGCGATCTACAACTGAACTAGAACCAATCCACATCTGAACTTGAACTAGATCTTCAAGTAGAGAGGTATTGAAATGAATGTCTATTGTTTTGTTTAATTAATTTAAAAACGCAAAATTTACCTTAAGTCCTCTATATGAACGTGCTGTACGTAAAATTTGCCTAGCCGACAGGCGATTTTTATTAAAATTTACAAAATCATTAAATAATTTTAAGAAATTTAAACGATACACATGTAGTTTAAACATTTTTAACGTAACACGCTATACATCGCACTAAATTTCATTATAAATATTTATTATTTTGTTACTAGTTCAGAAAAACAAAAAAAAAAAAATTGAAACAATTTTTATTTTTTTCAAAAAGGGGGCGGCAGAGAGTGTAAACAATAAACAAACACTTGTGTTAACTTTTTGGCGTTTAGCCAAATGAGAATTAAAAATTATTGAGGAAAAATTCGAAAAACACCATCAATAAAATATAAAAATTAAACTTTTCTAGTTGAACAACCCCTGAGTAAAAAGGAAAAATGCTATTGTTTGGTCTAAAGATCAGCTGTTGAAGAGGGAACAAATATTTTCCGTCTTGACAAAGTGTTTATTTTGGTCTTTGTTGTGTTTTTGTTGTAGTCTATTAAAAAGATAAATTAAAGATAATTTATTTAACTGTTCGTTATCAAAAAGTTTCTTTATTTGTTCGGCACACTTTTGTTGTCACTTTGCAAGCATTTAAATAAGTGATAAAAACAGAGCTATTAATATACTTTTGCATTGCACTGTCGATCACTGACAGCCAAATGATAAGGATGCCGTATGTTTGTTTACAAGTAATTTTAATGTAAATGAATTATCTTCAAAAGAAGAAGATGATTTATCCATGAAATGTCGCAAGAGAAATCTATTTGAGTAGATCACTCAGGGCGAATTCATATAAATTCGCTTTAGGGCCCGTTATAGAGCAGAAAATGAGTTATTTACATATGGAATATTAGTTATTAAAATATATTTACGACATTTTAGAATTTTAACCACAAATCAAATAATTAAACATGGACTATCAAAAACATTTTTTGGATTATATAAATGGCAAGTAGTTAAAGAAAAACTCTTTCATAATTTATACAAATCTTTAATTTAAATAATAATTTTGCAAAATAAATTGCCATATTGTTCCAGATTACGACACACATTTTTAAAATTTCCATTAATCTTTTATTTTTAGGACACTTCGGCAAAAACCTTCAAGCTTCAAAATCTCCCCGGACACCAATCGACAAGGGTACTTGGAAACCATTGCCGCGCTATCGCCTTAAACCCTACGAAATGCCCATAAATACACCACCCAATCCCGGTCAGGCACCGGTGATGACCAATTATCGTATAGTAACTTTAGAAAAGCCACTAGAGGGGCATAAAACTTTAACTTGGACTTAAGAGAAATAGTTTTTATGGACATTTACAAAATGTAGAACATTTTTTTTAAATAATTTTTATAAATCTAATTTTAACAGCAGGTATTTTAATGGTTGTTTTTTATGTTTGTGAAAATTATGTATTTTGTTGGTTTATTTAAGATTTTGTAATAAAATATCTGTTGTAATTGTAAAACGTAATAACTATTTACTAATTTTTAATAACTTTATTTTGCTAAATTTTATTGTTATTCTGTTTGTGGACAAAACACTTTTTTATTTATTTCTTTACAAATTTTATTAGCAACACGTTTAGTTTTTCTGGTTCAATATTTTTCACATAAAGTCTTATGACATTAGCAATTTATTCACCAGATTTGTTTATAATAAATACGTGTAAATTCTAGGAATTTTCAAAAACGCATGCGTTAAACTAAAAGATTTCAAGTGCAATGAGGAAACAAACAGATTTCAGATTTGAGTAGGAACAAATGCATATAAAGCATTTAAAAAATTGTGTCTTTTTAAGTACTTTAATAGCACAAAAAGTACTTTTAATTCACAAATTAACAACTTTAAATATTTTGAAAATCGGAATTGAACTAGAACTGAACTAGAACTGAACTTGAACTGAACTGGAACTGAACTAGAACTGAACTAGAACTGAACTAGAACTGAACTAGAACTGAACTAGAACTGAACTAGAACTGAACTAGAACTGAACTAAAACTGAACTAGAACTGAACTAGGACTGAACTAGAACTGAACTAGAACTGAACTAGAACTGAACTAGAACTGAACTAGACTGAACTAGAACTGAACTAGAACTGAACTAGAACTGAACTGAACTAGAACTGAACTAGAACTGAACTAGAACTGAACTAGAACTGAACTAGAACTGAACTAGAACTGAAATAGAACTGAAATAGAACTGAACTAGAACTGAACTAGAACTGAACTAGAACTGAACTAGAACTGAACTAGAACTGAACTAGAACTGAACTAGAACTTAACTGGAACTGAACTAGAACTGAACTAGAACTGAACTAGAACTGAACTAGAACTGAACTAGAACTGAACTAGAACTGAACTAGAACTGAACTAGAACTGAACTAGAACTGAACTAGAACTGAACTAGAACTGAACTAGAACTGAACTAGAACTGAACTAGAACTGAACTAGAACTGAACTAGAACTGAACTAGAACTGAAATAGAACTGAACTAGAACTGAACTAGAACTGAACTAGAACTGAACTAGAACTGAACTAGAACTGAACTAGAACTGAACTAGAACTTAACTGAACTGAACTAGAACTGAACTAGAACTGAACTAGAACTGAACTAGAACTGAACTAGAACTGAACTAGAACTGAACTAGAACTGAACTAGAACTGAACTAGAACTGAACTAGAACTGAACTAGAACTGAACTAGAACTGAACTAGAACTGAACTAGAACTGAACTAGAACTGAACTAGAACTGAACTAGAACTGAACTAGAACTGAACTAGAACTGAACTAGAACTGAACTAGAACTGAACTAGAACTGAACTAGAACTGAACTAGAACTGAACTAGAACTGAACTAGAACTGAACTAGAACTGAACTAGAACTGAACTAGAACTGAACTAGAACTGAACTAGAACTGAACTAGAACTGAACTAGAACTGAACTAGAACTGAACTAGAACTGAACTAGAACTGAACTAGAACTGAACTAGAACTGAACTAGAACTGAACTAGAACTGAACTAGAACTGAACTAGAACTGAACTAGAACTGAACTAGAACTGAACTAGAACTGAACTAGAACTGAACTAGAACTGAACTAGAACTGAACTAGAACTGAACTAGAACTGAACTAGAACTGAACTAGAACTGAACTAGAACTGAACTAGAACTGAACTAGAACTGAACTAGAACTGAACTAGAACTGAACTAGAACTGAACTGGAACTGAACTAGAACTGAACTAGAACTGAACTAGAACTGAACTAGAACTGAACTAGAACTGAACTAGAACTGAACTAGAACTGAACTAGAACTGAACTGGAACTGAACTAGAACTGAACTAGAACTGAACTAGAACTAAACTAGAACTAAACTAGAACTGAACAAGAACCTGTAGTTCATATAAAAAACTCTGATACAACGTATCTAAACCTAATTTAGAGCTGAAAAAAATTTAATATATTTTTATTAAAAGCCCTGATAATAGAAACTTGGACTTTAACCTCTTACTGACAAAATTGTTTGATTTTAAGCTTTTTTAATGAGTTAAATTTAAACAATTTAAACAGAATTTTAAAATATCTGTTGCCGTTTCTGTGCAATTTTAAAATTGAACAATATTTATTGTTTTTCCAGAAAATTCCCCCTAAGTTAATTCTCCATCAGAAATTACTTTTAGGTATATTTAAACTTATATAAACAACTCACATAACACTGATTTATTGTCATTGTTTTTACTAGGTACTTTACCACTTTTTAGTACTTCTTTAGTATTCCTCAATTAAGTGCTTCATAACACCCTTTCTCTAAGTTTCTTATTAGTAAAAGTACCCTTTTCAAGCCCCTTTTCTTCCTCACAAGACTCTGTTTACTAAAATTACCGTTAATTCACCTTTGTAATTGTGTATTTAACTTTAAAAAACAAAGCTTTTTTTTATTTGTTTACATGATTTGTATTAGTATGGGTATGATAGGGTAAAATAATAATATTGATTCAATTGTCTATAAATAACATTACACTCAAAAGAGAATAACAACAATGCAAAACCTTAAGAATAAAACAAAACAAAACCCTCTCTGGCTAATGACGTTAATGACCTTCAATCTTTTGCAAAAATACTACTGAACAAAGGATAAAATAAATAAATAATTAAAAAAAGGAATATTTACATTTTGCATATGATCATCCAGCAGCAGAGATGAAGCTTCCAAAACATTTAAAACAGCGGGAACAGACATGTTGCTTTTTTTTTTGATTTTTTTAGTTGAAGTGAGGTAGTTGTAGATTTGTTGAAGATTTGAACTTTAATTTATAATTTGTCTCAGCAAAAACAACAGGAAGTTTGTTGTTTTTTTATTTAATTCTATAGTTTCCTTTTTAATGTTTAACAAAAACCGGAAATAATTGATTATTTAAATTTTCATTTAAAGCTGTTGTTGTTTAATTTAAATAATTTCAAAAAGAATTGAAATATAGGTGATAATTTTTATTAATATTATTGCCTTGTTGTTAAGAAATAATCATTTTGTTTTAGGGTTTACGTGGTTTTATTTGAGTTTAATAAATTTTTAACATTTTTATTTAATTTATTAGGGGTTTTTTTGTTGGTATTTTTTTTATTTAAGAGCCTTAATAAAAATTGGCCCGTCTGGTCTTTGTTTTCTTGCTTTTTTTGAAGAAGTACAGTTGCTATTGAAAGCTGTTTAACACACAAAGCTTTTATTGTATAAATTTTTAAATGTTTTTTAACTGTTTTGGTTTTGTTGTTTTAACTTAAGGAGTTTTTTGTTTAAATTTTGTTAAAATTCCTTTTTTATTTAAGTTATTTTTTATAAATGTCACCACTACGATTTTCTTTGGGTTATTTAATTTAAAAAATTAGCGCTGTTTGGTTTTTATACCCAGCGTTTAGTATAAAAAATATAATATCAAACACAAAAGAGCCAACAAAAAAATAATAGCTTTTTCTTAAAGCTTTTCAAATTGTCATAATTTTTGTTGTTATTGTTGTGTTGATTTGTTAGTATTTTTTTTTTTTTTTTGCATTTATACTAACGCAAAGTTAATAATGAAAATTGTTTTTTTTTTATTTTATCACACAAAAACTATTTAAAAAAAGAGCAAAATTATTGAAAACAAAATAGTTTTCTTAAAGACAACAACAACCAACACTACGCATAATAAACATATGTATTAAAAGTAAACAACAACAATGATACGCTATCGTTTCAATATGAATAACAATAACAAAAGCATGATAAAAACATGAAATATAGCGTATACACTGGGAGAACACAAAAACACCCAACCACCACCTAGTAACTGTTTTCGTACAGAGAGCAAAATGTAAATAAACATGGAGGAATGTCTAAATGTGTGTTATTTTGATATGAATGTAATAAAAACAACAAGTAACCAGGCAACAATCATTGAAAAATGTAAACAAACTTTTAACACAATGTACCAGGTATGGAAATTTCGTTTAGTTTATGGACTAGTCTATTCATAACTAATACTAAGTCCATAGACTAGTATATAGACAAGGCAATAGAGCAGTCCATAGTCTATTCAAAAGACTAGTCCACGGACCTGTCAAAAAACTACATCATAGACTATTCCATAGACAAGTCAATAGACTAGTTTATAAACCAACCGTAGACTGGTCAATGTCAATAGTCAATGCACTATTTCATAGACTAGTTCATAGACTTGAATATAGGCTAACAAAGACTAGTGAATAAACTAACTGAACTAGAACTGAGCTAGAACTGAACTAGAAGTGAACTAGAACTGAGCTAGAACTGAACTAGAACTGAACTAGAACTGAACTAGAACTGAACTAGAACTGAACTAGAACTGAACTAGAACTGAACTAGAACTGAACTAGAACTGAACTAGAACTGAACTAGAACTGAACTAGAACTGAACTAGAACTGAACTAGAACTGAACTAGAACTGAACTAGAACTGAACTAGAACTGAACTAGAACTGAACAAGAACTGAACTAGAACTGAACTAGAAGAACTAGAAACTGAACTAGAACTGAACTAGAACTGAACTAGAACTGAACTAGAACTGAACTAGAACTGAACTAGAACTGAACTAGAACTGAACTAGAACTGAACTAGAACTGAACTAGAACTGAACTAGAACTGAACTAGAACTGAACTGAATAGAACTAGAACTGAACTAGAACTGAACTAGAACTGAACTAGAACTGAACTAGAACTGAACTAGAACTGAACTAGAACTGAACTACAACTGAACTAGAACTGAGACTGAACTAAACTGAACTAGAACTGAACTAGAACTGAACTAGAACTGAACTAGAACTGAACTAGAACTGAACTAGAACTGAACTAGAACTGAACTAGAACTGAACTAGAACTGAACTAGAACTGAACTAGAACTGAACTAGAACTGAACTAGAACTGAACTAGAACTGAACTAGAACTGAACTAGAACTGAACTAGAACTAGAACTGAACTAGAACTGAACTAGAACTGAACTAGAACTGAACTAGAACTGAACTAGAACTGAACTAGAACTGAACTAGAACTGAACTAGAACTGAACTAGAACTGAACTAGAACTGAACTAGAACTGAACTAGAACTGAACTAGAACTGAACTAGAACTGAACTAGAACTGAACTAGAACTGAACTAGAACTGAACTAGAACTGAACTAGAACTGAACTAGAACTGAACTAGAACTGAACTAGAACTGAACTAGAACTGAACTAGAACTGAACTAGAACTGAACTAGAACTGAACTAGAACTGAACTAGAACTGAACTAGAACTGAACTAGAACTGAACTAGAACTGAACTAGAACTGAACTAGAACTGAACTAGAACTGAACTAGAACTGAACTAGAACTGAACTAGAACTGAACTAGAACTGAACTAGAACTGAACTAGAACTGAACTAGAACTGAACTAGAACTGAACTAGAACTGAACTAGAACTGAACTAGAACTGAACTAGAACTGAACTAGAACTGAACTAGAACTGAACTAGAACTGAACTAGAACTGAACTAGAACTGAACTAGAACTGAACTAGAACTGAACTAGAACTGAACTAGAACTGAACTAGATCTGAACTAGAACTAAATTAGAACTGAACTAGAACTGAACTAGAACTAGAACTGAACTAGATCTGAACTAGAACTAAATTAGAACTGAACTAGAACTGAACTAGAACTTAACTGAAATAGCCAAGTTTATAGACTATTTAAAAGACTTGACCATAGACTGAACTACTAAAAAAAGCTAGAACTGAACTAGAACTATACTAGAATTAAACTAGAACTTAACTGAAATAGACAAGTTTATAGGCTATTTAAAAGACTTGACCATAGACTGAACTACTAAAAAAAGTAAATAATCTGAATTGTCCATCCCTGCTCTATATAAAATGAAGCAAGACTACAAAAATAGATTTACAGAGAAAGTGAAAATAATAGGGAGAATAATTTTCTAGCTTAAAAAAGTAAAATTAAAGCGAAAATTTATAAAATTTGTTTCATACAATTAAACATTTAATTGAAAAACAACAATTATATCCAAATTTTAAAAATTAATAAAAATCCCTCTATTTATTATTAAATAACAATGATGCCATAGAAAATATCTGATAAAGTTAATTTAAACTTAATCATCTATTTTCTTGCTCCCAACTGTAGGGTGTGTTTGTTTTCATCTCTCTACTGTGCGCATAATACTCTACACACAAAGAGCACTTCACACTTTGAAACTTTCAAACCAGATTTCCATATTGAAGGAGACGACGACAGCAAAAATAACAATACGCCTGACCATCACGTGAACGTGTTCGTATATAAATAAATGGCATGGCATACATTTCTGTTGACACGATGTGAATCGTTAAAGAAACGAAGCCAAAAACCAAAACGTAAACATGTTTTTATAATATAAATAAAAAAAATCGAAAAAAGCTTTATTATTTACGTAAATAAATTTAAAGACTCTCTGGCGTATTATTGTTTTATTGTTAATTTAATTATTATTGTTGTTTATTTGTGAATTGAATGACTGAGCGGAATTGAAAAATAGTTTTATTTTAACACTCTGTGCATACGATCTAAATTGCCGATTCCATAGACTTGCCCTTGATGACCTATAAATCCCTAGATAGTATCAATATTTAGAAACCTCTACTCTAAAGAATTTTGTTATTATTTAGAAAAGAACTATATGTTTTAGGATATAACTGAAGATTTTACTTAGATTGATAATTTGAAAATATTTGATGCTAAATTTAATTGTTTCAAGCATTATAATAAGACTGCTTGTTAATGTTTTTATAAAAATAGACTCATCAGTTTGAAAAAAAGTAACATTTGCTTTAATATATTCCTTAGACACCAGAGAGACCTTGTTATTATTACTTTTAGGTGGCCTGATCGAAATACTCTATTATATTTTTGTCGCTCATTTAAGTTTTCTAAATTCTTAACACGTAAATTGTGCAAAAATTGTATTTATTATTGTAAAATTATAATTTTTATAGTAATTTTCCACAAAACTAGAATATTATAATAAATTTACTATCGTGTTATTATTTGTATTATTGCAAAATATTTAATTGTTTACATTTTTACCGCAAAACAAAAATGATGATGACAAAACTATTTTTCTGGGGGTGTGTACGTAAATGACAAAAAAGCTTTTCTTGTTGATAACTTTTTCTTGCCATATACTATATTGGCAATAACAATGGTCAAGGTTTTTTAACATTTTGCGACATGTGTTGCTCATTCTCTCTCCTTTCCCTCTCTTGTTGTTCTATTTACAACTATTTAGTTTTAAAAGTATGGAGGTTTTTTTGGGAAATAATAAACGTGTTGCTAAATAGAATTTTGTTTTTAATTTTATTTAGACATTTTTTAATAAAATTTACTAAATTAGTAAGAGAGAGGGAGCTTTTTTAATGAGTATTAGCTAAAACAAGAAAAAGTGTTGTGTTCTGCTATGACGATTCTTATCTAGCCTATAGTCTAGTCTATAATCTAGTCTATAGTCTAGTCTATAGTCTAGTCTATAGTCTAGTCGTTAGTCTAGTCTATAGTCTAGTCTATAGTCTAGTCTATAGTCTAGTCTATAGTCTAGTCTATAGTCTAGTCTATAGTCTAGTCTATAGTCTAGTCTATAGTCTAGTCTATAGTCTAGTCTATAGTCTAGTCTATAGTCTAGTCTATAGTCTAGTCTATAGTCTAGTCTATAGTCTAGTCTATAGTCTAGTCTATAGTCTAGTCTATATTCTAGTCTATAGTCTAGTCTATATTCTAGTCTATAGTCTAGTCTATAGTCGTCTATAGTCTAGTCTATAGTCTAGTCTATAGTCTAGTCTATAGTCTAGTCTATAGTCTAGTCTATAGTCTAGTCTATAGTCTAGTCTATAGTCTAGTCTATAGTCTAGTCTATAGTCTAGTCTATAGTCTAGTCTATAGTCTAGTCTATAGTCTAGTCTATAGTCTAGTCTATAGTCTAGTCTATAGTCTAGTCTATAGTCTAGTCTATAGTCTAGTCTATAGTCTAGTCTATAGTCTAGTCTATAGTCTAGTCTATAGTCTAGTCTATAGTCTAGTCTATAGTCTAGTCTATAGTCTAGTCTATAGTCTAGTCTATAGTCTAGTCTATAGTCTAGTCTATAGTCTAGTCTATAGTCTAGTCTATAGTCTAGTCTATAGTCTAGTCTATAGTCTAGTCTATAGTCTAGTCTATAGTCTAGTCTATAGTCTAGTCTATAGTCTAGTCTATAGTCTAGTCTATAGTCTAGTCTATAGTCTAGTCTATAGTCTAGTCTATAGTCTAGTCTATAATCTAGTTTTTGTGGGTATAAGTCCAATATTTCGACATGTAACAAATGTAATGGCAAAATCAGACAGATCGACGGACATGGCTAAATCGTGTTAGAATATAAATACCTAGAAAAATCTACTGACTCAACGAACAATATTTCCGTGTGTAACAAACCGAATGACCATGTCAATATACCCCGCATCTTTTTTGTTGTTGGATATAAAAAACAAACGGTACAAAGTCCAATTTATTATTTTTAATATGAAAAATAATGTATGTTTGTTTATTTTTAAACTTTATGCTAATTTAGAAGAGATAATCATCAAACGGTGGTGGAAGGAGATTGAATAACGACTATTTACTTAATTGCAAATTGAAATACAAAAGTACGAATAAATGTTTTGCAATTATTTACTTTTTTTAGTTATTATTTATTAAGTATACTCACTGTGGTTGGTGTAACTGTTTCTCTGTTATTGGAAGCTCTATTTCCCTGGATAAAAAACTTCCGGTTGATACAGCTGTTGTTGAGTTGACAATCTTGGGACGATTCGGAATCGTTAGGTTGAGGAGTGGAGAACCAATTGTCGTGGGAATGTACTGTTGTTGAAACAGCTGTTGCTTTGGGAGTAGTAGCAGCATTTGTAGTTAATGTTGTCATGGTTTTTGTTGTTGTTGTTTTGACACAATATTGTCTAGAAATCATTGACTATATAATGTATGCACGTGCTAGTCAACTTTTGACATATACACACACATTTATTTATGTATTTAAAAGCTTTTTTTTCAGTGTCGTGGTTTTGATGTTTAAACAAATTGTTGTTATTGTTTTGCTTTTATTTTTGTTTAAATTTAATCTTTACTTAATAACTTTGTTTACATTAGATTTTTTTCCACTTAAACAAGTTTATCACTTGAATTTTTAATAGTTTTAATAAATATTTAATAATCACGTTTTGTAAAAAAACAACTTAACACGTGACATTTACTATACGTTTTATGACATCAGCCAAATATGTTCAATTTTTTTTTCTTTTTCTTTTAACTAAAATCTCTATTTTTTCATAGATTTAATTAAATATTCTTAACTGCTTCACTTTATACTTTGTTGCCTTTTTTTAGTGTTGTATATTCTAAAATAACACTAAATCAACGGACAGTTTCTTATTTATATATTTGGTTTTGCTTGTCAACTTTAATATTACATTTCAACATTTTGTACTAAATCAATTTAAGTAAATTGATTTAAATTGAATAATATGATACACTATCATGTTATAGCGGCAAAAAAGAATCACTAACTACTTTAATAGAGAGCAGAAGAAGAAGGCATAGTTGTGGAAAGTATAAACAGAGAATGTTGCAAAAAGGGATGTTATTTGAAAGTTTAAATAACACACGCTACAATAGGTAAAACAAAATACATAGTCAACATATCGTAAACTTAACTGCAAAAGGAACTAAGTTTATTTTGAATGAATGAAAAAAAAATCTGAAAAACTTGTTTGCTTATATGTGTTATAATTTTAGAATTTTTTAAATAAAATTTGTTAAATATTTTAATTTAAAAAAAAATGTTAATTCTTTTTAGCCTCTTTTGCAGTTAAAACTACGTTCTGCTAAAGTCTAAAGTTTTTTTTGCTTTAATTCTTTGAATTAATAAAAAATATATATTAAACTTACAATACATGGTTGTTTGTGTTAGTAATTTGTTATATATAGTCAGTTGCTAATCAGTTGGCAATCTCTGCCTCTTTATTCTCTGCAGCAGGTTTCTCACTAGATTCCTTTTGCTCCTCATCCTTTTGTTCCTCTTGCTTTTCTACTTTCTCCTCCTCTATTTTTGTTTCATTTTCTACTTTCTCATCCTTTACTTCGGGAGTTTTTCTCTCAAATAGAACAATCATTTCGGTGTGTGTGGTGTGGGGGAACATATCTACCGCCACCGCTGTGACAGGATAAAAAGGTTCTCCTTTATATTGTTTTGATTCTGGGCGACCTAATTCTATCCAGTTGCGTTGAGCTCTGTGGGGATTACAGGAAATGTAGACTAAACGTTTAATGGCCGAGGCGGCACGTATAGCGAGTATGGAACGTTGGTCTGGAAAAAAGTTTCAAAATTAAAAAATTTCCAAAATTTTAAATTTTGGATTTTTTATTAAAAATTTTCAAAAATTAAAATTTTTTAAGTAAAAATTTTGAATTTTCGAAGTAAAACTTTTCAAAATTGCAAATTTTTAGTATCAAAATTTATATTTCGAAATTCAAAATTTTCGATTTTTGAAAATTGAAAAAAGAAAACTTTTTGAAATTGTTTATTCCAAAATTAAGAATTTCTAAATTAAAATTATATTTAAATTTTCGAAATTAAAATTAAAATTCTGAATTTCAAGAATTAAAAATTTTGAAATCTAAAATTTTAATTTTTGGTAATCTAATATTTTGAATATTTAAAAATTAATTTTTTAATTTCCAATATAAATTTTTAATTCCGAAAAAAAATTCAATTCCAAATAGAAAATTTCGAATAGAAATTTTCAATTTCGAATAAAAATTTTCAATTCGAAAAGAAATTTTCAATTTGTAATTGAATTTTTAATTTCAAATTTCGAATAGAAATTTTCAATTCCGAATAGAAAATTTCAATTTCGAATAAAAATTTTTAATTTCGAATAAAAAATTTCAATTTTGAAAAGAGATTTTTAATTAACAATAGAAAATTCGAACAGAAATTTTTAATATCAAAAAAAAAAAAAAAAAATATTTTCAATTTCGAAAAGAAGTTTTTAATATCGAATAGAATTTTTCAATTTCGAATGGAAATTTTGAATAAAAATTTCAATTTCACATAGATATTTTCTATGTTAAATTGAAATTTTCAATTTCGAATAAAATTTTTAATTTCGAATAAAATTCTTAATTTCGAATAAATTTTCAATTTTGAATAGAAGTTTCCAATTTCGAATAGAAATTTTCAATTACGAAAAAAACTTTCAATTTCGAAAAGAAATTTTCAATTTCGAAAAGAAACTTTCAATTTCGAAAAGAAATTTTCAATTTTAAATAGAAATTTCCAATTTCGAAGAGAAATTTCTAATTTCGAATAGAAATTTCCAATTTCGAATAGAAATTTTTCAATTTTAAACAGAAATTTCCAATTTCGAAGAGAAATTTCTAATTTCGAATAGAAATTTCCAATTTCGAATAGAAATTTCCAATTTCGAATAGAAATTTCCAATTTCGAATAGAAATTTCCAATTTCGAATAGAAATTTTTAAATTTTTAACAGAAATTTCCAATTTCGAAGAGAAATTTCTAATTTCGAATAGAAATTTCCAATTTCGAATAGAAATTTTTAAATTTTTAAATTTTTAATAGAAATTTTCAATTTTGAATATAAATTTCTAATTTCGATTAGAAATTACCAATATCGATTATAAAATTTTAATTTCGAAAATAAATTTTCAATTTCGATTAATATTTTTCAATTTCTAATAGAGATTATCCATTTCGTTAACAATATAAATTTTAAAAAGACTTACGCAATCCTGCTCTGGGAGGATCCACGACAGCTACCAAATCCAACGGTTCACCTGGTGCTGTACCATACACCACTTCCTTAACCATCGATTGTATATAATCATCAGCATTTCCTGCATAAAATTTACAATTTGTTATACCATTCTTCTCAGCATTATACTCAGCATCCTTAATGGCATCGGGTATGATTTCCACGCCCAACACCTGTTTACAGTGTTTAGCAAAAGCCAAAGCTATAGTGCCCGTACCACAGCAAATATCCAAAACTGTGGAATGAGGTTTTGGAGCCGCTAAAGCTATAGCATTTTGATATAAAACATTAGCACTCGCAGTGTTAATTTGAAAGAAAGCCAAAGGACTTATTCTAAATTCCAAATCTTGTATGGAATCTCTTATGTGAGTAGTGCCCGATAAATGCTCGACGGGTGAAACCATTTGACCCACCTCACGATGTTTAACATCTTGATAGTACAAAGAAGTGCATTTGTACTCTTTTTCTACGCCCTCCTCCTCATCCTTAAAGGACAAGTTTTCATAGTAAGCGATTAATTCCTCTTTTACTTGTTTTAGTTCGTCCTCAGTTAAATTTGAAGTATAGATACCGGGCACCAGCATAAGTTCATTGGTGAGCTTGGAAGTGCGCACCATTATTTGACGAAAGTGACCAGAATTTCCCTCTGGATTGAAAGGTTGGAACTTGGATTGCTTAACAAAATCTTGGAAAGTTTTCGCAGCCCATTTGGCTGCTTTAGGGATATGAGGTAATGATTCTACCTCCGCTACTTCTACTGAACCGTCAGCATAACTACCTAAACGAAAACCTACCACAATTTCACCATTACTATTTTTACCCACTGTAAATTCATTCTTATTGCGATAACCATTTATTTGAGGAGAGGCTAAGGCACCTTCATATTTGAAATTTTGTAAATGAGGTTTGGCATCCCGATTGATTTTTTTCAAATCATTGGTAAACTTTTTGATTAATTCCTCCATTTCATAGTATTTCTTTTTTAATTGTTCCTCATAACTTAAATGAGCCAAAGGACAAGTGGCATCGGCTGAGGTGCGTTGTTTTTTATTGTCACTGCCACGTTTTTCTTCCGATTGGCCATCTTCTTTACGTTTTCTTTGCAAGGGATCCGCCGAAGCTTTAGCCACCTGTAGTTGGAAAAATAATTAATGTTTTAGCAGTATATTTATCGTATGATAAATAATTACTTACCGTGGCCTGCAAGACCTTGCCTTTCCATTTGTAACCATTTAAAAGCTGTATAGCCTTCTCCTGATCTTCCTGACTGCGAAAACAAACAAAAGCAAATTCTTTGCGCAAAGGAGACTTCACTTTGGCCATGTCCAACTTGAGTTTGTTTTTGATCAATTTTTTAAATTCCTTGAAAGATTTTGCAACGTAAAATCGATGGTCTACCCACAAAATAATGGAGAAAACTTACCCCCATGCCAAAGTAGCCCATATTTCGCACTTCAATTTTGTAAATTTCTGAGGTAAATTCATTGCGCTGCAAATAGCCAAATTCCTTGTCATTGCCTCCTTCCTCTTCGGTATCTTTTGTTTCATCGCTGTTGTTACTTGTTTTCTCCTTAGTTTCTTTTATTTCTTCTGCTTTTTCTTCAATTGCAGCAATTTCTGTTGCCTTTTCATCAACTTTTTGCACTTCTTGTATTTCTACGTCCATTTTTATTTTAAAAAATTAAATTAATAAAAATTTCCAGCACAAACTGAAAATTATTTGTTTAAAAGGCGCAACACGTGTGACCTGCGCCGACAAAAATTAACGCCGTTGGCGGCTGTCACTGAAAATTTCTACGGCGTTTTAATATCATCAATAAGGCGGCTATGTTTTTGTTTTTAAATTTTAAACCAAAGTATTTTAAACGATATTGAATATAAAGTTTGTATTACAAACTGAATCCAAGCAATTAAAAGGCGGTGTACATATTTTGGAAGAAAATACACATTTTGAAAAAAACGGAATTTATATTATTTTTATAGATTTATACCATAATAAAACATTGTTGTATCATGGATTTATACTATACATATTTATAGTCCAAATGTTTCTGTTGTTAAATAAGCAATTCCGATTTGTTGAAATGAGATTTTAATTCTTTATATATTTAAGATCTTAAGGATTTTTTTTTTTGTCAAACATATCGACAAATACTTGTCAGTCCGCCAACCAAAAGCAAGCAAAACTGGAAATGGACCTGAAGGAAGCTGAATATCATTTTGAATATTTTCTATTAACAAAATACAATAATTCTGATAACGGTTTCCAACTAAAAACACCCACCTTTCTAACAACCATCTAGTTGGCAACGCTTCTCTTATAATCCCCTCAATTAACAATAATCTGGCAACACACAGTCACAGAATTGTCAAAACCGGCTGAGTGTTGTGCAGAATTTTTTTTGCAAAAAATTTTAACGCTGATTTGCGAAAAAAATAATTTATTTAATTTATCTTTAACACACGCTAAGGAAAATTTATTCAAAATTCTATAAATAATTCCAACAAACGACATGCCTCAAATGCCATTACCTCCTTTGGCTCAGGTAAGTCCCATTAAATTTTCTCCTCAAAAAAACCCGACAGGAATTTAAAACAAACTTTTCTTTGTTGTCTCTTCCACAAATAATTTGTTTACGGTGCATTCTCCACATTCTTAGAATGCTATCGAACCGATGCAGGTTGATGCCCCCATGGAGGATAACGACAACAACGAGGAACATCAATTGGTGGTGGAGAATCCCACTTTAGATTTGGAGGTCTATGCCAATTCATATGTGGGCTTGGCCCGTTTGTACCGGCTGATATTTGTGGCTGATGTATGTCCCTCATTGCGTTTGGAAGCCTTAAAAATGGCTATCAATTATGTCATGACCACCTACAATGTGACCATGTATCAGGTGCTGCATAAAAAACTAAATGATGTGTATGTCAGCAGTACTGGCGGTGCAGCAGCTGGTGGTGGTGGCAATGGCGCAGCAGGTGGAGGTGCTGCCGGTGGTTTACCTGATATAGCTGCTCAACCGGCTTTGGCTGGTCAAGCTCAAGACTTGCCGGTATTCGATCAGAATTGGGTGGAAACTAAGAGCAAAAAAGCTGCTCTTAAACTAGAAAAACTTGACTCAGACCTCAAGAACTTTAAATCGAGTTCTATTAAAGAGAGCATACGCCGTGGTCATGATGATTTGGGCGATCATTATCTCAGCTGTGGTGATTTATCCAATGCTCTTAAATGTTATTCCCGTGCTAGAGATTATTGCACCAGTGGCAAGGATGTGGTCAACATGTGTTTGAATGTCATTAAGGTATCTTTGTATTTGCAAAATTGGTCGCATGTACTGAGTTATGTCTCCAAGGCAGAAAGTACACCAGACTTTAATGAATGCTCTAAGGATGCAAATCAGGTGGGTGCACTTTTTAACGCAAAGAAAAGTATTATTAAATAATTTATTTTTTCCAGGCTGTTCTCACACGTCTAAAATGTGCGGCTGGCTTGGCCGAATTGCAAACCAAAAAATATAAATCCGCCGCCAAACATTTCTTGTTGGCCAACTTTGATCATTGTGATTTTCCCGAAATGATTTCTCCGAACAATGTTGCCATGTATGGCGGACTCTGCGCTTTGGCCACCTTTGATCGCCAGGAACTGCAAAAGAATGTTATCTCTTCTAGCTCATTTAAGCTCTTCCTCGAACTAGAGCCTCAGCTTAGAGATATTGTTTTCAAATTTTACGAATCCAAATATGCTTCATGCCTTAAGTTGCTCGACGAAATACGCGATAACTTACTGTTGGACATGTACATAGCACCGCATGTCAACACTTTGTATACAAAAATTAGGAATCGTGCTTTGATACAATATTTTAGTCCTTATCTATCGGCCGATATGCGTAAAATGGCAACAGCCTTTAACCGCACTGTCGAGGCTTTGGAGAACGAAGTGATGCAATTGATTTTAGAGGGACAAATTCAAGCTCGCATTGACTCGCACAATAAAATATTGTACGCCAAGGAGACTGATCAACGCAGTAGTACTTTTGAACGGGCTATTTCAATGGGTAAGAAATATCAAAGACGTTCTCGCATGTTGGTTTTAAGAGCAGCCATACTCAAGAGTAATATCCATGTAAAGGTAAGTAAATCTTTAAAAAATGTATAAATATCTGTTAAAGAGAAATGAAATTCTTACCTTGCAGAGCATACCCCGTGAACATACTGATTTGTGTGTTGCTGCTGGTTCAACTACTCCTACAACTGCTAGAATTTAAAGTTAATTATATACATATGTTTGTCGTTCGCTCCTACTCACATGATCCTGAGGATATTGTTTGAAGAAAATTTTCATTCTACATATTTGAATAACATGTTTTTATTTCTATTGTGAATTCTAATTCTTTTGCGATTTAAAAAATTTCCTCCATTTTTCAAAAAAACAGAAAAGTTTTAAATTTATTAGAGGAAATATGGATTATTACACCGGTGAGTAAAAGTACTTTTGACTGGAATTACTTTATAAAATAATATTTTTTATTGAGAACAAAAACAGATTGCATTTTTTAGGAAAATTGTTTGCATTCAGAAGATTTCTTATCCATTTTTGCTCTTTTCATGGAGAATATCATTATCGTGTACTGTTTAGCTTTGCACATTTTTAAACTGATATAATTTTTCAATGAAAATCTTAATAAGAAAACATTATAAACATTTTTGTAATGTTGGTGTTGTTATCCAAAACTTAACGTCTACTATTATAATGATCCTTATAGCGTGGCGAACGGCTTCGTCTTTCGCGTCTTTCCTCTTTTTTATAACCATTTCTTTCCAACGATCTTGAACGTTGTCTGTCCCTTGAACGCCGTCTCTCTGTGCGATCTCTGGATTTGGAACGTGATCTATTGCGTTTCTGTTTTTCATATGATTTCTTATCATGGTAATATTTATCTGTCTTGTGTTTATCACTTTTTGAGTTCGCTGACCCATCTGATGAATGTGAACGATCCCGATTACGTGGAGTTCGGCTACGTCTTCTTTCACGTTTTTCCTCTTTTGTATGGCCATTTCTTGATGGTGATCTAGAATGTTGCCTCTCCCGAGAATTTGAGCGCCTTCTCACCACGCGTTCTCTAGATCTAGAACGTGATCTATTATGTCTCTCTGTTTCAAAGGATTTCTTATCATTGAACCCTTTGTCTTTTTTACGTTTATTATTACTTTCCGTACACGCTGATTCATCTGAAGATGATGAAGAATCATCCGAAGATGAAGAGGATTCAGATTTACTGCTTGACTTTTTATGTTTTTTGTCTTTCTTTTTTCGTTTCTTACGTTTATCCTCTTCTGAATCACTATTATCGTCCCGCTTCTTTGATTTTTTCTTCGACTTCTTATGTTTTTTAATTTTGCCATCCTTACTTTTCTTAAGTTTTTCTATCTTCTCTAGTTTCTTTAGCAGCTTTAATTTCTGTTCCTTGCTTAGGGATTTTAAAAATGCTTTTTCTGGATTGCCCTCTTTAGCCATTTTCTCATCATCTTCATCTTCGGGATCACTGGGCACTAAGGCATGCTTTTGATTAGTGCTATTTTGTAATTCCATGGCGGAACGTTTCATCATTAGACCATCACCCTTCATTTGTTCTTCTAAAACATTTTTAGCCATTATATCAGAAGCCTCTGCCTCGGAGTGCAATTTACGTGCCTCACTCATGGATATACTGTACATGGAACATTCCTTGTCTGTGTTAATATGGCCCCATTTGTGACACTTTATGCAGCGCACATTACGCACTTGTATACCAAAAGGTTGATCTCTAATTTCGGTGTCACCTTTACAATATGATTCACGTGGAGCATTATATTTGCGCTGCCACTCGAATTTATACTCCGGTTCATTATCGTCCTTTTCACGATCTTTTCTCACCCCCGGCGGAGGCTCGTACATGAAATTAACACTTAACTTGTCCTTGCTCTCCTTACTAAGCATGGCCTTGTTTTCATGCAAATTCTGTTCCTTTTCATATTGATTGCGTAGTTCCTCCTGTTTCTTTTTGTAGGCCTCTGCCTGCTGTTCAGCCATCCATACCTACGTTGTGGTGAACAAAAATACAAGTTGTTAGGAAATGTTTGAAGTTTTGGTTGAAAGAAACCTTACCCGTTTTAGATTGTCCCTAGAGGCTGGATGGAAGAATTTCTTACACATGTAATTATTAAAACCTTTACCCATTTTGTAAATGTATTTTTATTTTCTTGTTAAAAAACAAATTTTTCTTAATTTTTTACAAACGTTTTACAAATATAAAAACAAAAAAGAAAAATGGGAGAAAATGCGTCACAATGACAAACAGCTGTCAATTAACAAAACAGTTGGCAATGCGACCACATTTTTTTATTGAAGAGCAGCTACATTTTTAACGTTTTTTTATTTTGCTTTAAAACTGGAACTTTTTTGATTATAATAAAGCAAAAAATTATTTATTACTAATATTTAAATAAATAGAATTATTATTGAATATTTATCTCAAATTTAACAAAAATGTATTCCATAAAGTAAAATTAGAAAAACGCTTATAGTTTTTTTAATATATTCATTTAAAATATGGCAGCTCTATCCTTTACGTTTGTTTTGTTTATTTTGTTTTGCTCGGACATGTTTCCCTCAAAAAATAACTGTGTTTTTTAATTAGTGCAAAAATTAGTTTTTATGTGAAAAAATGGAAGAACCTACTTATTCCCCTGGAGATTTAACCCAGGAAGATATAACCCAGCTATCACCGGAATTTTTACAAAGAAAATTGTATTTCCTGGTAGATCAACTCAAGTCCATGCATGCCAATTTACCAGAGTAAGTTTATCGCCATTTTGGCAATCTTGCAATTTTTAAACTTTCAACTTTTATTTGGTTCTAATCAGGATCTATCAATCACGCATTTCCTATGAACTACTCACCGAATTAGCCAATTCCCTGCTAAATGACACCATTTTCGAAATAGTTAAAGGTTTAATGGAAATCCAGCATGTTACAGAAAAACATCTACATCAATTACGCGAACAGGTCGAGAATGAATATGAAATTGAGGTTCAAGAATGGATTTCCAAAATCAATGACCAAGAAGAATTGCAGCACATTTTGGAGTTGATGAAAATCAAACATAATCGTAAATTAAAAGAGACTGATATGAAATTGATAGCATTGCTGGATCAAAAAGTACGTGATCAGCAATCGACTTTACATAAGGCCGGAGTGGCGGGTTTTTATGTCACGGACAACCCCAAGGAGATTAAGATACAAATGTTTTTACTGGATTTTATATTACGTTTATCGAGAATTAAATTTGAGCCGAATAAGTAATAAAGGAATAAAGGTAAATGAAATGATTTACATATTTTGTTTAAAATTTTAGTTGCATGGTAGAAATTTGAATTTCTTTAAAAATTAATATTAAAATGAAGGTAGTAGAGCAAAAATAATGGAATAGGTAAATGAGAACGTGCTTCCCAGTAAAATAGAAGGGAAATAATATACTAGATCTAAAACAGAACTAGAATTGAACCAGAACAGTACTAAAACAGAACTAGAACTAGAACATAACTAAAACATAACTAGAATAGAACTAATCTTGAGCTGAACTAGAACTGAACTAGAACTGAACTAGAACTGAACTAGAACTGAACTAGAACTGAACTAGAACTGAACTAGAACTGAACTAGAACTGAACTAGAACTGAACTAGAACTGAACTAGAACTGAACTAGAACTGAACTAGAACTAAACTAGAACTAGAACTGAACTAGAACTGAACTAGAACTGAACTAGAACTGAACTAGAACTGAACTAGAACTGAACTAGAACTGAACTAGAACTGAACTAGAACTGAACTAGAACTGAACTAGAACTGAACTAGAACTGAACTAGAACTGAACTAGAACTGAACTAGAACTGAACTAGAACTGAACTAGAACTGAACTAGAACTGAACTAGAACTGAACTAGAACTGAACTAGAACTGAACTAGAACTGAACTAGAACTGAACTAGAACTGAACTAGAACTGAACTAGAACTGAACTAGAACTGAACTAGAGCTGAACTAGAACTGAACTAGAACTGAACTAGAACTGAACTAGAACTGAACTAGAACTGAACTAGAACTGAACTAGAACTGAACTAGAACTGAACTGAACTAGAACTGAACTAGAACTGAACTAGAACTGAACTAGAACTGAACTAGAACTGAACTAGAACTGAACTAGAACTGAACTAGAACTGAACTAGAACTGAACTAGAACTGAACTAGAATTGAACTAGAAGTGAACTAGAACTGATCTAGAACTGAACTAGATCTGAACTAGAACTGAAATAGAACTGAATTAGAACTGAACTAGAACTGAACTAGAACTGAATTAGAACTAAACTACAACTGAACTAAAACTGAAGGAGAACTCAACTTGACTAGACCTGTTTAAACTAATTAATACTAAAACAAACCATTTGTTTTACAACACAACTTATGAGTTAACATTTTTATTAAGGGTTTGAATTTTCTCTTTGTTTGGATATTACCACAATAAACGAAATTTAACATGTCACCATCATAACTAAAACATTTATTACAACTTTTTGTTTCTAACAATCATTATTGTTATCAAGTTAATTAACATTTGTTAAAACAAAAACGTCAAAGTAAAATCACAACAGAAACAATAAGTTGTAATTAACAAATGTAAGCAAATATCATAAAGAAATAATTGACATGTGTTCCCAATTTATCATAAATTCATAAAAAAAACTATAGGGTTTTCTAGATAAATATATATTTTATTTAAAGCCTGTATAATTTAATAATACATACATCACATTGTTATAACTATTAATTATAGCTATTAATAGTGTTTATAGTTATAGATTAAATACTAACATAAAACTAATACTTATAAAACTAAAAAGAAATTTAAAGAAAAAAAGGTGCAACAAGGAAAAAGATAAAGTAATACCATTTGCAACTCATATTAGGAATTGCAATATTTCTTGCGTTTAACATCTATCAACAGTTGACAGCGTCAGCAGTAGAGACCTTGGCCTTCATTCTTTTCTATATAGTAGTTGCAGTATTCTCTTTGGGTGGGTGTCAAACCCATTTGTTCTACCTCACGTTTAAATTGCTCCAAACCACCTACACCCGCTAAATAGCCATTGAGTTTAGTGGCCACATAAGAGTTTTGCAACAAAGAGGAATTTAAATTAAAGGTCTCACACAAGTCACGATGTCCTTGTAAACGATATTTTTGGTGGTAACTGTTAAGAAGGATAATCAAATTAGTTTTATGGTGAGAGGAGAAGATTGTAATAGACAACTTACTCTTCTGCTGGATAGAAATTAGTTTTGGGAGATATCTCTGTTCTTATAACTTCAGGAGCTCTTTTAATTTGTTCTTCTGCCCGAGATTGTTCAGCTATTTGTTTTTGTTCTTCATCATGATATAAAATCAAAGACATATATTGCCTTTTGATAACAGTACACAAACCATACTCATGGTTATTCCAGAATAAATCCAATAATTGTTTATAGCTTATGATTTCAGGATCATAATCAATTTCTAAAACTTCTGTGTGGTCACCCCTATAGTGTTGTGTTTTATTTTTTAGTTAAATGACAAAAATTATATAGAAAGTTAGTAAGCGTGATAGTAAGAGAGAGATCAAAGTTAGATAAGCAATAGAAAAAGTTATTAGCAACAACAAATAGGTGCACAAGTATTGATAATAAAAAGATAGAAATAGAAGAAAAGATTAATTAAAATTTGTTCCGTGGCATAAAACTTACATATTACGGTACGTTGGTTGATCCTTAGAGCCGCCAGCATAACCCACAGTGGTGCGCAATATACCCCAAGTGCCGCCATACAAAGACTCAGCACCCCAGAAACAACCCATGCCAAAGGTGGCAGTTTTAAAGGGACGATCTAGTTTATGGACCGGGGAAATGTTCAATTCTTTTTGTTCATTGCGCACAATACTCTAAAAGAAAGAACAAATTTGGAGTTTTAGTTAAATATGCAATTTTGGTGAATGATCTTTAAGGAAATTTACATAAAATTTAAAATATTTATTTAAAGACGAGCCATTGCAATCCTTCCATTCATTGAAAAATATTGCCACACAATCAATTGCTAAATACAGTAAAATAACTGATAAAATCAACAAGTATTTTAGGTTCATTTTTTTTTAACACTTTTCTCTTTTTGTTTATAGAGTTAGAGAGTTACGAACACGTCAATAGTTTTTAAAGAACTAAACAATTTGTGGGAAGTTTATTGATATGTTAACATTTTTTGGTGATTTGTGTGTTTTTTTTTTTTTTTTTTGAAGACATTTAACAACCAGGTTCAATGCACGTATGCACAATTAATATAATAATTTAGCAGAGAACTTAATGAGACCAACTAAAGTAGGGAAATAAAAGGGATTGTAATGCTTTATGGAAAAAGGAAGAAATTTTTAGTTTTCAAATTAGTTTTGGTTTAATATAAACATTACTTTTTAACTAGTTTAACTAACTTTAATATTTTTTGTTTATTTTTAAAGAATTAATTAGGGTTTTAGTTAATTCCCAAGGAATTTTTTTAAATATCTTGTAATTTTGTGGATTTTCCGTTTAAGTTTTTAGTTGTTCTCATTATTCTGCCATAAAACGTGAACGGCCTGAGCAAATAATAAAAATAAATAATAAATATTGTGTTATATTTTCATAAGAGCATAAGATTTTACTTAAAATTTAAGAGCAACAAGAGTAGAATTTTCAAAAACTTTTACTCTCTTAAACATGTGCTGTAAAGGCCAAGGTCGTTGAAAGAGAAATTAGCTAATTTTTTCAATATATTATGTAGAAAATTAAGAAAAATTACAAATTTTAATGAAATTTTTTAACAATTAAAAAACTTAATAAATTTTATAAAAATACTTGCCTTTTAACATTTTTTTGGAAAAACTTTTAAGCATAATATTTTAAATAAACACTATTAAAAGAAAACCTTTAACTATAACTATTTAAACACAACTATTTCTTTTAACTATTATGAAAACTAAAATACTTGCTTTAGTTAACAAGCTTTTTTCCAAACCTTTAAGCCTTCCAAGTCTGTGAGAAATCCCCTGGTTTGTACTATAACACCCATTACACGTTTAAACATTTTGTTTTTGGTTTTAATTTATGCCTTCCAAACCCCACAGCTTACAATATGTTTTATTTTTGTTGGTCACTAAGCAAAACACTTGTAAATTCTTTAAACAGCAACACGAGTCTGATGAAATAAAACTTTTGTGCCGGAAGATGTTTGCATAAATTTTCTAAATTTGTTTTATTCCGATAAAGAGTAGAAAAAGCTTTTTTTTATTTTTATTTCAATTGTCAGACAATTTGACGTCTTTCTTCTTCTCTAGGCAATGTTTACTGCTCTTGAATATTTGTTTTCTAATTCTTTTAAAGGCAGGTGGGTTTAATAAACTTAGTGAAGGTAATATTTAATTAGTTAAATGTCGTGTTTAAATTGGAGGAAGGAGGTGGTGGTTTAAAAACTCTCGTTTGTTTGGTATAATTTCTAGTTTATTTTGATTTGTTTTTGTGTGGTTTCTAGGAAATTGTTGAATTGTTGTGGAATTTTTTTTAACTTTAATTTTGGGTTCAAGAGTTTGAGTTAAATTTTGGAGGTTGACAAAGAAATCGTTAGTTTTATTAAGGGAGAGCGGGATTAGTTACTTTCTTAGTAGACTATAGAACAGAAAATATACTATAGAACAGACTATAGCATATACTATAAACAAGACTATAGTCTCAACTATAGACAAGACTATAATCTGGACTATAGACAAGACTATAATCTGGGCTATAGACAAGACTACAGTCTGGAATAGACAATAATGTAGTCTGGTCTATAGACAAGACTATGGGCAAGACCAATAGATTATAGACCAGACTATAAACCAGACTAGACCAGACTAAAGTCTGGAATATAGACAAGACTGGAATATAGACAAGACTATAGTCTGGACTATGGGCAAGACTATATAGGCAAGACTGTAGTCTGAACTATAGGCAAGACTATAATCTAGATTATAGACCAGACCAGACTATAGTTTGGACTATAGACAAGACTATAGTCTGGACTATAGACAAGACTATAGTCTGGACTATAGACAAGACTATAGTCTGTACTATAGGCAAGACTATAGTCTGGACTATAAACAAGACTATAGTCTGAACTATAGACAAGACTATAGTCTGAACTATAGACAAGACTATAGTCCAAATTTCAATATAAAAAAATATTTAAAAATTTGTAATATTTTTTTCGTTTTTTAATAAAAAAAAAATATTTTGTAAGCAAAAAACTGAAAAAATAATTTAAAAAAAATTTTCAATTTTTTTTAAATAAAAAATGATTAAAATTTTTAAAAACCTGTTTTGAAACAAAAAAAAAAAAAAAAATAAATAAATTTGCAATTCAAATTAATTTCAAAACGACAGATTTTTATAAATTTATGAACCTTTTTTATTAAATTATTTAATAAATTAATTAGACCTCTTAGCTATTATAAAAAAATGCACCAAAAATATTGAAATAAACTTCTTACAGTAATATAAACCAAAATGTCAATTAAGATTAAAAGATCATATAATGACGTTAAGATTTTTTGTTTTAAAACAAATCCAAAATCAAAACAAAGAAACTGAAACAGGTTCTTTTTTAAAAAAATAAACGTCAATGCAATTTTTAACAAAATTTATGATAACAACACTCTTATAAAAACTTTATTATTTAATAATTATTTTATAATGATTCCAAAAAACACACAAAAAAAATTATAAAAAAATAAAATAATTAAAAATTTACAACAAGATAACAAAATATTTTAAAATATTAAACAAATATTTATATAAACTTTATTAAAATTAAAAAATTAGGTGAATAAACTTTTCAAACTTACCAAATCCTTGATTTGTGGTGCATTAATATCTTCAGGATTAATAGCAATAGAAGTCATTTTGTTTAATTTTTTTAATAATTTTTTTAAAACACTTGAAAAAGAAAACTTTTTTAAATTTTAAACTTTACTTAATTTTTTTTTAAACTACCAGTTTAATAATTACTAGTAGCTGTAGCTGTTTTGTCAATCAACTGTTAAGTTTAATACTTATGCTGTGTCTTTTTATACCCCAACGCGCTAGCTGCTAGCTGGTCTATGTTGCTATAAAGCTCTTTATGTAGTTATTTAAAAATATACTCTTTCGTTTTAATCAATTGAAAGTAACTAAAGAAAAAGGGAGAGCAAGACAGTGTTATAGTAATAATCAATGAAGAAAGAGATTTTAGAATTATAGAGAAATTGTGACGGAATAACATGTATCAAAAAGCTAAATGTAATGGCTGAACTTTAAGATTAAAACATTTTTTTTAAATTTTTAAAAATTTATAAGAATTTTAAAAAGAAGACTATAGACAAAACTATTGTCTGGACTATAGACAAGACTATAGTCTGGACTATAGACAAGACTAGAGTCTGGACTATTGATAAGTCTATAGTCTAGACTATATACAAGACTAGAGACTGTACTATAGACAAGACTATAGTCTGGACTATAGACAAAACTATAGTCTGGACTATAAACAAGACTATAGTCTGGACTATAGACAAGACAATAGTCTGGACTATAGAGAAGATTATAGTTTGGACTATAGACAAGACTATAGTCTGGACTATAGACAAGACTATTGTCTTGACTATAGACAAGGCTATAGTCTAGACCATAGACAAGACTATAGTCTGGACTATACCCAAGACTATAGTATGGATTATAGACAAGACTAGAGTCTGGACTATAGACAAGACTATAGTGAAGGCTATAGATACGATTATAGACAATACTATATTCTGGACTATAGAAAAAACTATCGTGTGGACTATAGACAAGACTGGTAGTCTGGACTATATACAGTCTTGTATATAGTACAGACTATAGTCTTGTCTATAGTCCAGACTATAGTCTTGTCTATAGTCCAGACTATAGACAAGACTATAGTCTGGACTATAGACAAGACTATAGTCTGGACTATAGACAAGACTATAGTCTGGACTATAGACAAGACTATAGTCTGGACTATAGACAAGATTATAGTCTGGACTATAGACAAGACTATAGTCTGGACTATAGACAAGACTATAGTCTGGACTATAGACAAGACTATAGTCTGGACTATAGACAAGACTATAACCTGGACTATAGACAAGACTATAGTCTGGACTATAGACAAGACAAAAGTCTGGACTATAGACAAGACAATAGTCTGGACTATAGACAAGACAATAGTCTGGACTATAGACAAGACAATAGTCTGGACTATAGACAAGACTATAGTCTGGACTATAGACTAGACTATAGTCTGGACTACAGACAAGACTATAGTCTGCACTATAGACCTGCGGAAAGTGCAACTTTTCTTCAAAATTTTTCCTAAAAAGAGTTCTATGCAAGTAAATGTAAGAAGTAAACTTTCCGATTCATTTAGTTGGCAGTGACAACGACTTTTTTCATATGAACCGGCTTTGGCCTCACGTACAAATTATCTGATTTTACAACAAAAACAAACTCGCCACCGACTACTATTACGTCTCGTTATACAAATGTGGTCTTACCCACAATCTCTAAAAGAGAGTGAGAAAGCAAGATCCCACAAGACAGAGAAGAGTTGTTGTTAGACTAGCATGTGCTGGTTTTGTGTACAAAAAGAATACACACAAAATGATTAAAATAAATAAACAATGAATAAAAAAAAACAAACTCGCAATTCATGATTTCAAAAATTGTTTACTAAAAAATGCATATTTAAAAGATTTTTAAAAAATTAATTTCTATATGAAAATAACTTTATTTTTAAAGAATATTAACATCAATGGAAACAGGACATTCGCCAGAATCAGATTTCGTTTGAATTACAAAAATCGATAAAAGTATAAGGGAACCACAGAAAATTGGCTTTTACAGCTAAAGGACTAAAGCAATTTTAATGAAATTTGGTTGACACATAGTTTCTGTTGTCTACTTTTATTGTGGCAAATTTGAAAAAATTCTGATCATTAGTTTTGATGCTAGAATTTTTGGAAAAAATTTTGTTATATAGCATCGAAGTGAATAATGTTTTGCTTTGAGTAAAGCGTCAGAGAGGTTGTACGTATAAACAGCTGTTGAGGCAGCAAAACTGTTTTGGCACACTTATCATACTCACATTTTGCTGTCTATTAGTGTTTAAGTTTTAGTAAGAAGATCGGTAGAGGGGGAATCTTAAGTATGTTTATTATTTCGGTATTTTTTTCTTAAATTTGATTAAAGTTTATTATTTAAACATATCTTTATATAGTTTTATTAAAATACAATAGTATGGCGTTTTAGGTTTAGAAGTTTAGAAATTTGTCTTATTGTTGTTGTTTGCCGGCAGCTAAAGCGTTATCACGTGAACTTACAAAATTTGCAAAATTTCTATAAATTTATTTATTTCTTTCTTTATTATTATTTATTGTATTCTTTAATTATTTAATCTAAATTTCATTTTTTTTATTGCTAATTAAATTTTGTATAAGATTTTCTTAAAAGTAATTTAAATTTATAAAAAAACGTTCAATTTTATCTCTTTAATCTTTTGTTATGCACTTGTTTTATTAGTTTTTGTGAAAAATATTTTGTTTAGCAAAATATTGCTTTATCATTTGTAATAAAAAGACTAGGGATTTTTTCATTTAGTCCAGATTTTCTACATCGCAATGAGTTTGCAAATCTGTTTTGTTAAAATTTTTGCGCATTATTTAAAAAAAAGGTCCTTGGTAATTCACACTTTAAGCAACATAGTTTCGTTTTGTTATCAATATAGATTATAAGTAGAAAATATACTTAAGTTTTTTAAAAAGTTAGCAGAAAAAGTAGCAAAACATAATTTGTGCATAAAATTATCTCTTCACATGTTGTTCTTAATATTTTTTGTTTATTTTTGGAAACACCGAAAAATATCATGCTGCAATAAATATACTTACATATAATTCAATATGAATGACCATCAAAAGTATTCACTTCATTGTTTTTATTACAATTGTAAAAATTTGCATTTCTGCACTTCTGCACCATTTTGTATAACCTTGCGAAATCACCAGAATCACTTTAAAAAATTTGGCTGACTTAACTCTTAATCGATTTTCACCATAAATTAAAATCCTCGAATTATATTTTGACCAAAAATATATTTTCAATAACAATTCAAATTTTTCAGACTGTAATCTAGTACCTAGACCATAGAGTTGTTTATAATCCAGACTATAATCTTGTCTATGGTACGGACTATAGTCTTGTATGCAGTCCATGCTATAGTCTTGTTTGCATTCCATGCTATAGTCCTGAC